CAAATGCTTTATAAATTCAGTATCTATACCCACCATTTTCTATGGTGCAAGTGATCAGCATTTTTGCACCAAATTGTTTGAGAAGCCAATTTCATTAGAAACTAAAACAAAATGAATTCTGATAATTTAGCTTTTATTTTTAGTCTCATATCAATGTAATCAGTTATTTGCTTAATGAATATTTCAGTATTCTTGTGGTGACAATAATTCCTATGATCTTCAAATCTAATGATTTTCATTCTTAGATCATTATCTAATGTTACCTCTAATTGGAAAATGAATTATTGCTTAATTCTTGCAATTTTCTTTTTAATTATAGTTATGTAATCTCTATTTCATGCAATTTGTGATGTATTGTGAGCATTAACATTTTAATAAGAAAAATAGTTTTCATTACAAGAAATTAAATGATGATTTATTATTTCATGGATTGCAGTATTTGACACTGCTTCAAGATACTTTGATTTTATTTAGTTATTTCATCTTTTTCTTGTGGGTGGGGTTGTTTTTAATGGCATTATGTTCAAAATCTAATTCATGACCTGATTTAAATTGTCTTATGTATCTCGTTTTGTCATTTGGCAGTTGTTCACAAATAGTAACACATGTAATAAAGACTTATAGCTAAATTCTCAGATTAGAGAAAAATGACAAACTTCCAATCAAGATGTGTTTATTTATGAAGATTATAAAACTCTTCCAGTTTAACTTTATACTTAAAGTACAACAGAAAATAATTAACCTCATAAATTTATTATTATGTCTTTGATAAATATCTTGAATGGCATTTCTGTCAATAAATTGAATTTTTTCTTGTTTTTACATATTTATTTTTTTACTTTAGGTACTGCAGCAAGATGTGTGTTTATTGTGGATATTGTGCATTATTTTGTTATATCAAAGCTTTTTTTTTTTTGTTTTTTTTTGTTTTTTTTTCATCAGAGTTGGGTAAAATGCAAATTGAATTCGTTCTTCAAGCTTATTTAAATCCTTCTTCAAGTTACTCAAAATGATAGCTCTGTATTCATTATTAGGTGGCATTAGGAGTGTTTAGCTTTAATTTTCATGACAACTGTCACATCAGCATGCATTAAAAATTACATTGACATTTTTATTTATGATTCTAATCTTTAAAATAAAAGCAAAAAGTGTTTTTAGTATATTAGGCTTTTTTATATTAAGAAAGGTAAAAATGCAATTCAATTGCAAAAAAAATATTTATGCTACTTATAGAAAAGTTATTGTGAATGATCAAATGTCAAAAGTTGCTTGCAGCTTTGCAGTGGAAATTATTTGCTGAATGATGTTCGAAGGTCAAGTAGAGTGTTGAGATTGGTAGGAATCAAATCAAAATAAACAAGATTGTGGGGCAAGTAAAATGGACCCCTAGTGATTGTGCCAAAGGCATCCAAAGATGATGATGATGCTGTGTATATGATGGAAGGAAATCCTTTGCTATGAGCTTCATCAAGATAACTAGACAGTTGATTCAAACAAGTTTCCATTTAGTCTGCTTGAAGGCATCAATCAAAAAAAACATCCTAAATTATTTAAGATAAAGGATAACCACCTGGGTAATGGTGGTCACATATTTATTTAATGACCAAATTAAAACTTATAGCTTTACTGACAAGTTTTCACTCATTTGCTTTATTCACCATTGTATTTTTGGATTACCAATTATTCTGGTCTTTACAAAATTTTCTTCATTTAAAAATAAAATTCAATAATCTGGAAGATTTCAAAATACACACAAAGCAGTTCTTTGCTGATAAAGATAAGAGTTTCTGTGGGAATGGAATTGTGAAGTTGCTTGTAAGATGGTTGCAGAAGATAGAATAAAATGATTCATGTTGTTCAATGTAGTTTAACATCTTTTATTTTACTCTATAAATTGAACAAACCTTGTTGGTTACAAAATAATGCTATACAGGCTGCGATGTATAAATTGTCGCCATTTATCTATATTTTTAATTTTGTGCATGCACATTCTTTGTTTTTGATTTTATAGACTGCACAGTATATAGTAAGACCAGTTGTGCACTGTTTGTGAGAAAAAGAGCACCATTATGTAATTCACTCTGCCAGAAATTTGGAAACTGCATGCTGTATTACTTGGCATTCACACCAGAAGCTCCAATACAAACATTTCAGAGTGTTTGGGTATCAATCTAAGAACAGTGCAGAGCATTCAGAAAGAGTTGGATGAGTCTAATGGTGATTATATAGGTATGGCAGCTCAGAAAATTCCCTCTGATTGTTCTCTCAAATTTATTGGTGAGGGCCACAAACTCAGAACAGAGGCCTACATTAAGTGCTTTGAAGATGTAGTGCTGCCCTGGCAACAGGACTCTGTATCATGCCACACAAGCAGGATAACCCAGTCATGGCTGTCAGACAATTTCTGCAACCATATCACCCTTTACATCTAGCCACCTAACTCTCCAGACTGCAACCCAGTTGATTATTATGTGTGGGGTGCAGTTAAGTGAGAGACCAACAAAACTTTTTGTAATACTAAAGATGAACTGAGAGCAATTATTATGGCAGTATTGACCAATTTAAACAAGGAGACCCTCCAGAAGAGTTTCAAGAGATTCTGAAATTGTCTGGAGGCGATTTAATTGAATAAATTTACTCTTTAGTATTTCAAGATATTTTTGTGTAATTTTGGTAAATATATCTGTTACAATGAGATGTCAGGGTTATTTTCATTTTTGTGTTATTTAAACTACAATTTATCCATTGCAGCCTGTATATGTTTTTTAATCGTTTCACTAGAAGCAAAATGATTAAAAGCCACTAAGGCACAAAAGGGGTCACTGAAAGTGAAGGAAACAGAAGACAATAAAAGAATATGATTCAATGTGACAGAAGATGATGAATGACATTGCATTTACATTTTTGACAGGAAAGCATGAAGCTGGAAGAGAGTTCCATAATCAAGAAGAAACTATTAGCATAGAACTTAGTTACAACTACCAATTTCAACAGTGAAATTATGAGACCTAGTTGCCAGTCTGGTACTTATATGCTGTCACCCAACTGAAATAATAGATAAAAAATATTTCTGTATTTTATTTTGTAGGTGTATTACAATGTGAGAATTTGCATTTCTTTCATTAATTTGTCTCCATTAAACATGTAGTTATTTGTTAGTCCAGAGTATTGAACATGATGTTATTTGGATCACTTCTAGGAGATAATATGGGCATATGGCTGAATGGTGAAAATTCCAACCATAAGATATATGTTTGGTTCTCACCATGTTCAATTTGTCAGGAAGGTAACTTCTTTATGTTAATAGCATGTGACACCTGTGGAAAGCACCTGAAAACCCCATACCACGAGTTGACCCAAGCCTGGTGAGTGAAATTGCATAGACAGAACTATTTAGGAGCCGTCAATGATTGTGCTTGCTCAAAGTCACAAGTCATTGTGACCGAGGGTTTGAGTGTATTGGCCTTGTTCAGACTGTTGATCATGCCAGATAATGTGTTCTCTCTCAGAAACTGTAACCAAAGTACCCTCAGCATAGTTTGGCTCTGTTGGTGTTGAACAAATGTACCTGAGCAGGTGTCTACAACAAGGATCTGCTAACCACCCTAGTAGATGGGCATATTCGGATACAAGCAGTCAGAAAAAGATAGTATTTAAACGAAAATCTAACATTATCTTTATGATGTCATTAAGAACTTATGGAGTGTGAACTGGATGATAGACAAACCTATCTGCTATTTTATGTCCATATTTTTCTATTGGAATAATATTGACGTAAAATTCCTGAAGCTGATTTTAGATATAATGATGAACTATCCTCCTTGTTTTTCTTTTTCTTTTTCATCAATCAGGAAACAGCTTCAAACTTATTGTTTTTCTTTCTTCAGTCTTTATAGAAATGAATTCTGACTTTACATCAATCCCACATGGAAACAACAAGTATTTATTCCATGTTGACATGTATTAGGTGGTCACACATGAAATGACACATTTTTTGGTTGGTTGTTGATCCATTCATCTGACAAAGTAACTTCCTTAGTATATAAAAAAAATCTTGACTTATTTCTGACTCTTTTTTTTCTTTTCAGATAATTTTTCTTTCAATATATTGTTCCTCATAAGCCCAATGAAAATGATTACAATGGAACAATGTCGAGTAATTTTACTGTATGAGTACAAACTGGGAAAAAGAACCATTTTTGTATCAAATTATTACATATGATGAGAAATGGATACTCTTTGACAACAGTAAGAGAGTAGGACAGTGGTTAGATGCAAGCAAATCACTAAAATAATACCTGAAACATTCACTGCACCTTAAAAAGTTAATGGTTCCTGTATGGTGGTCTTTCAAAGAGGTTATTCATTATTCATTCTTGCTTCAAGGGAAAACAATGACAGCAACCTTGTATTGTGGAGAAATTGAGCATAGGTGTGAAAAATTGTAAAAGAAACATCCTAGACTTGTGAATAGGGATGGTCCAATTTTACTGCACAATGCACAGTTGCATACTTCTCTATCAACTGTCCAAAAGCTGCATAGCCTGAATTATGAAATTTTGCCTCATCTTCCATATTTACCTGATCTCTCCTACTGATTATCACTTATTTAAGCATCTTCATATGCAATAAAACATTCTCCAATAAGGAAGAGGTCATCAAAGCATTTGAACTGTTTATCACATCAAAGGATAAGAATTTTTAAAAAAACGAGATTGAGAATTTAAAGCTACATTTGAGAACTGTCGTTCATTAATATGGTGCCTATTACAACTAAATAAATTAGTTATTTAACATTTCAGAAGTATTTTATTTGTTTCCTATAAAGTGTGTCTTTTCATTTGTGACAGCCTAATACATTATTTACAAAGTCAAACCAAAAAACAGTTTTTTTGGGGGGGTGATAAATCTGACTTATTTGATTTAGTCTTATGCTTAATTTATGACTGAGTAATTCTAAAATGCTGATCTTTTTTTTTTTTTTTTTTTTCTTTTTGCAGACAATAATCATATTTATGACACCCGGGGAATTAGCTACAGAGGAAATGTTGATATTACCGAAACTGGCACCAAATGTTTAAACTGGAAATACGTCAGAAGAGTACGAAACAATGATCATTCATTCTGGGCAAGAAATTACTGCCGAAACGAAAAGTCAATAAAGCCTTGGTGTTATGTATCAAAAACAGAGTATGAATTTTGTAACATACCCATTCATGGTAAGTAACTGTAAATTGCATTTTAGAAATTAAATGTATTAATATTAATAGCTCATCATAATTAAAAGAAGAAAAACTTTTTTTTTTATTTTTATATATTAATATATGTAAAATTTCATATATTCATTTATTCAAAAAAAAAAAAAAATTTTTTTTTCTTGAATATTACTCACTTACTTTCGTCTTACCAGACTTTGAATTATAGCACTTTGTGTCCTTCGCATGTTTTGACTGAATTTTCAACCACTTGATGAATATTCATGAATGTTCTCAAATTTAAAAAACTTGAATAAACCAATGACATCCTTACTCTTGTATATAAAGATGTGCAATAAAATAAATGCTTCATTTGCTTTGTTAAAGTCCCTCAGAGTATGAAACATATTGGCTAAGAATAGTTTTTCCTTGTCTTTTTATTCATATGTATTTGCATGTAATATTTTGCTTACATTCACAAATTTACCTTTTCAAATATTTACCATTATGAAAATATAATTTGATATAAATTTCAAAAGAAATTATTGTTAAAACTTTCACTGCTACATTGTTATAACATTGTTGTCTGGCTGTGCTGTCCCATTGTGGGGAAAATAGGAAAATGGACATTTCCTGATTTAAAAATAAAAATGTTGACTGATTTCTCTTGGGTGGTGCCATTTTCATTTTGATCAGATATTGTGCAATACAAACAAAAGCTAACAACACACCTTTTCTTTTGTTAAAATAAGAAATTTAAATGTATTTAATGATTCTTCATAAAATACAATGAAGAATCTGCAATGTTATTGGCTTAAGTCACTTTCTCGCTGCTGTAATATAGCTTTTCTATAAATATTTTCATGATAATTATTCTGATGAACTTTCTTCCATGGTACTTAGACATTATGAATTTAAGTGCAGTACTAAGGTCTCATCATTTTATAATTGAGTACCTTTTCTAAAAATGTTTTTATGGTAATTGTTTGGTTGAGCTCTTCACTATGATACCTAGACATTAGGAATAAGCACAGTAATAGATTGGCAACAAGGCCTCACCAATTTACAATTGAAATGACTAAATGTAAAGCTAACAGTTTCTTCTCCCACTTGAGGAATTCTCTTCTGGCTTCTTGCTAGCCAGTCAATGATCTTCAAAAATTTTAATGTAATGTCAATTGTCTTCAGTCTTCTTAATTCCTGTATTTTTTGTTCTCTCTTCTTGATGTTTTTTTTCTCCTCATATTCTCTCACACCCAGAAAATGTTTGAGTCTCAGTGGTTTATACTTGATTAAGAAAAATAATAATATGGAGAGTGAAAGTCCTGAAATTTTGTATTTCATGTGGGTTATGATGTGTGTGATTCAAGCTTTCCCATTTGAATGCACCTTTCCTCAATAGTAAGAAATATGTCTATGTGTAAATGGATCAACACTTATAATATCACTACACCTCCCTTAAATCTTGACTTTCTATATGCTTTTCATTGATTCTTTGACCTCTTTTCCCCCCCTTTCTCTCTCTCTCTCTCTCTCTGATAGATTTGTCTCCTCTCTTATTATGATCATCTATGTCTATATCCACCATGCCCTCTTCACTTTCCATTGATTCGTTGCCACAGTTTTAATGTTCCTTAGCTGGAATCACTTACTGTAACCTATTCTTTCATCTCTTCTAATTCTTGCGTGGGTCTTATTTGGTTGGCATGGAAATAACACCCTTCTGATTTATTTTATGCTAATGCTATATTTTGTCCTTTCTACATTATATATTTGACCCTTTCAGGAATCAGTTCACTAGTTTTCTTGTATCCCATTTTCTCATTAATGAAATAAGATATGGTTAATTAGGCCCTAATCTGTCTTCTCATTAATACAGATGGACTTGGTAATCTACCAGCATGTTGTATAGTTCAATAACTAAGCAATAGTCTCAGTATAAAACTGTTAATATTATCCACACGATCACGTCATGAAACCCATATAAGCCATTAGGGTCATAGGGTCACCACATGCAGTGCAGCTGCAGGTAGCAATGACGTTTCCTGGGTGAGATAGCTTGATGTAGCCCAACTCTCTCCAGGCTGGTTTGAATTCAGAGTTTTACCTTCTAGACTGGTTGCCAACCAAGACTATAAGACCTAATCTGTCCTGCTATTTACCCTTTGCTGTGGGTGGAAGGAGCAAATGACTCTCTCCTGAGATTTTGAATTCAGAGTTGTTGTTCTCCTAAACTGGTTGCCACTCAAGGCTATAGGACCCAGTCTGTCCTGCTATTTACCCATAGCTGGGGAGAGAAGAGATGGATTCATACCTTTATATTATCCAGAAAATTTTATACTCTCAAATGCTGTTTGTTGCATGTTAATCCATTTGAATTCAGCGTTTTTTTTTTTTTTTTTTAATGCAAAATTAAAAAAAAGGTTAAATTGATTTTGAATGTTTTGGTAAATACATACTGTAAAAATTGATATATTTAATATTTTCTGCATATTTGGGTTTGGTGAAATACCATCTTTTGAAATTTGCTAGCCAAGATATATTTTTTCAGAATTAAATATGCATTTACTCTTATTAATGGTTATAAAAGCCATTCTTAATCTATTCAGTACATAGCTTCTCTATTGGTTGCTGCTAAATATATATAATCTTGATACATTATTGTATTTTTTATGTCTCCCTTTAAAATATTTTCTATTGCTTTGTAAAATATGGAACTTGCAATTTTTATCCTGTATAGCATTTGGTTCCATTTAAGTAAACCTATTAGGATATTAATAGTTGTGATTTCCTTAAAATTATCATCACTTTGGATTTGGTGCTAAACAGTTTTGAGACCAATTTTCACAAAAGGTTTCATTTTGGTTAACACACCTAATTTATTATCTCCACAAATATGTAAATTGCTATCCAGTTTTCTCAATACAACTATTGGTGATATCCATTTGCTTCTACCATGGGGAAAATGTTAGAAAATGCCTTCTAACATTTTTCATCAGTTTGCAATGATTAGGGACAAAATGTGCTTGCGAGATTCAAAATATGAAAGGTTAACATTTTCTCTCAATTTAATACTTGCTTTGTAATCTTTTAACATTCCAGTTTCTGTTAAAAAAATTAAATGCATAATATGAAGTACATCAAATTGTCATAATTTGAGATTACCCTTACTTAACCTATCCTAAAAATCTTGCCAGCATTAAATAATCCGTTTAGGATGATATGCTGTAAAACAAAATCAATCAAACCAAACCATACATATAAGCCTATGTACTCATATGTAAATAAAGCAAGTCTTATTCTGATAATGCTACAACACCAAAAAAAAAAAAAAAAATACAATTGGATATCACTAGGAAATCAAGCAGATTATATTGCTAAGAAAAAGTTCATAAGTAAATCCTTTCCAATGCATATTTTATTTATGAAAGCACGTATATACATAAATACAGTTATCTGCATGATGGTTTTTATTTATAAATGTATAATAAAAACACATGCTTCATGTTTTCTATATTCGTAGCCTATTTCTGTTTGCAAATGTATTATTTTCTATCCTTTATATCTAGTTTTGTTCTGATAGCATATTTTTAGAGACATGTTACTGTATAAAAATCAAGAATGGCATAATCATATCTACCTTATAAGGCACCTATTTTTCCAAACATTTCCTTAAAAAATCACCTTCATAATTAAGTTACTGTTTAGATTAGCACCTAAACACACCTGTTTGGTAGACTACTCTGCTGACGAACCCAGAATGAAATATATATTGTTTGTTCACTGTGCCATGCAAGATAATTTTTCTCTCTAGAATCTATTTTATATATCTATGTCTACCATTCATCCATGCTTAGAATATTGCTGCCACATATGGTCTGGTGCTCCTGTTATTTACCTTGACTTCCTTGATAAAATCCAAAGAAGAATCAGCAATATTATCAGTCCTGATCTGGCGACTCAGCTTCAGTCACTTTCCCATTGCTGCAAGGTTGCCTCTTTGTGTCTTTTCTATAAATACTTTATGGTAATCGTTCAGATGAGCTCTTCGTCATGTTACCTAGACTTTTTGAATCTAAGCACAATACTGGACTGCTGTCAAGATCTCATCAATTTATATTTGAGCTGACTAGATGTAGTTGTAAATTCTATGATAACAGTTTTTCTCGCACTTCTCTATTGTGGAACTCTCTTCAGGCTCTATGCTTTCTAGCTAACTTTAATCTGCAACAATTTGAATGCAATTTCAATTGCTTTCTATTGTCTGCCTAATTACCCTTTCCTCTTCCCAATCATTAGTGGCTTTACTGCTTTGCATGGAGTGATACCAATTAAAAATACACACACACATATATATATATATATATATATATAAAATAATTGATGAAATTATGATTACAGACAAAAGTAATGTTCAAATATTATATCAAAGCATAGATGATCAGTTAGTATTAGTTTTTCCAAAATACTTCTTAATAGATTATAGCTGCATATTATAAGTTGAAAAATAATTTATGTATAAAAATATTCAAACTATTTCATAAAATGTAAAATTGTCTCAATAACAAATTATTTAAAAAACAAAGAATAGAAAAAAATATGTAGGTTGAAGTAAGTATTTCAGTCCTTTTTCTAAGCAAGGACTCTCATTCTCACCTTTTGATATTTTCATTTATAGGAATTGTTAACTTAAGCTTTCAGTTAAAAACAGACAAATATATACATGTGTTTCTTGGTTCCACCAGTTCAAAACTTACATAGTAACAAACCACCCACATTCCATCCATATTCCTTCAGCAAGAAGTTACACTCAAACAGCTTCTTCCCACAAATCACTGCCTCGTGGAACAGACTCCCAAGAGGATGTTTCCCTGATCACTACAATCTTAACCTGCTCAAGCCTGGAGTTAATTGTCATCTTCCCCTCCTATCCATATAAACTACCTTTTAACATAACCCTTGACCTTGAATGGACCCCAGGCTTAAAAAAAAAAAAAAGGAAAAAAAAGTGTTAGACAATACATTAACTTACTTTATATATGTTAAAAATTGCTTCTTTTTTTTTTAATGTACTTAGAAGAGTATTGGACTCTTATACAATATCAGTTAACAGTGAATTCTGGACAATTTCCTCACGGATAAAAGGAAGATTTGAGGCAACAGAAATGTGGTTCTATAGAAGGATACTGAGAATACCCTGGATGGAACATATGAGCAATTAAATACTTTTAAGGAATAAAATGTAGATTTGTGCTTAGTATCAGAAAATGACAGTTGAAATTTCCAGGATGCATAATAAAGAAAGAGGGTTTGGAGAAGTTGACATTCATAGGACATATTGAAGGCAAGAAGAAACTACAAATATTGATTTTTATCTAAATAGATGGCAAAACTAGGATGGACAATGAGAAGACAAACCTTGCTACAAAAGATAGGTAGTTGTGGGGAGCCATGATTGCCCATGTTCAGAAAAGACATTGTATATAAAAGACGACTTATAAATCCCTTTCTTACACTTTTTTTATTTCAGTGTGCCCACCTGATACATTTGGAAATGGGTGTATTCATGAATGTCATTGTAAGAATGGCACTTGTGATCAAAATGGTGTCTGTAAATTTGGATGTGCTCCTGGTTGGACTTGTCAGAACTGTCAAAAACGTAAGTGTTCCAGTTTTGTGTTATTTTTTATATTGAATATAGAATAATCATGTTATTTTTACTTTTTCAGTCTTTCCCAATTTAAAAAAGTTTATCTGTTCAATGATTAACCTTTATGGAAATATGTGAACCTTATAATTATGCACAAATAAAAAAGAAAATTAGTAGGAAGTTTCATGTAGGAAATCATATATTTAAGATATATTTATTCCAGTGTACTACAGTGCTTGTTGTGACTTAACCAAATATTAAGTCAATCTTGCTTTAAGTAAAAGAATAAAGTTTCAATTTCATGGACTGAATGAATGATAAAACAATAAAATTATCAACATCATTTCCTTTGATTTTTGTTGTATACTCATTTCCTTCTGGGTCCCAACCAGAGACCTAAGGTCAGAAATGGCATCATGACATTTTCCAATGAACATTTATGTACAAAAAAATAAAATACAATAAAAAATAAACCACAAGCATTTTACATAGATAAATCCCTTTGTGGAGTATGAGCTATGTGTTTTTTGTTTTTTTTTTAAACATGAGCTGCCAGTGATCACTGCAGTGGATCTATCAGAATGTTTTCCAATAAACCCAGAGCCCCAACCAACATTGGAATTACTGATGTCTTCATGTGCCACATTTTTGAAGTTTCCATTTCAAGATCCTTGTATTTTGATAGTTGTTTTTTGTTTTTTTGTTTATATATATATATATATATATATATATATATATATAATTACATTACAGCCTGCAGGAACTGGCATATCAATAAGAAAGCACATTCTGCTTTCTGGTCTTTGATCACTAGGTTTGGGCAATTAGCTTTTTAATTGTTCTGCGTGTATTGTAAAGTCCCATAAAATTGTTACATGTTCTATGTCTGTAACTGAGTCTAGGTGGTGTTCATACCAATTTCTTGAAGTTTCCTTCCCATAAAAGTGACAGATTTTCGAGTGCAGATATTGACCCACCCTGTCATGTCAAGTTTTATATTCAGCATGACAGGGTGGGCCAATATTTTAATTATTGAGTAAAAAGAGCAACACACCAACACAGTGATGCTTGGGTACAACTATACAAAGTCAAATATGTTCATAACACCACTGCTACACTAACTATGGTACAGGACCTGTACTACATCTCAATTTTCATAAGGTTGTATTCATATAAAATACAAATTTTATCGCAACCTAATTATGTACAATAATAGATCATATGCAATATGGTTGAACAATCCACAAAAAAAATTGAAAATAAATACAATGTATCTAAATACAAATTAGATACCATAATCATTTTATCTTAAATAAATCAACAATATTTTGTGGCAATTTTTAAGATCAATTTGAGATTTTTCTTGTTAAAAGCTTAATAATTTAATACATTTGACATTATGGATAAAATGTAACAAATTTTATATATTGTTTTTTTTTTTTTTGTTGTTGTTTTTGTTTTTTTTTAAACTTAGCTTGTGCCAAATAAATTCACAGATTTGGGTTAAAAAAATCTCTGAATAATGTCAAAATCTGAAAGTATTTCATCCTTTATTAATCAGTTTTACTTAGTTCAATTTGTAGTGTATATATATATATATATATATATATATATAAAAACACATGTTGATAATATAATGAGGATCACAAAGCTCTGGGGCCCTCAATCATCCCCCACTCCACCCTTCTGGTCGGGTAGTATGTACCAGCCCCTGCATGCATCACAGCCACATGTGTACTACATCCGTATGAATTTAAGTGTACTACTAGATTGGCTACTAGGTCTTGAAATGTTACCATTGAAATAGTGAAATATAACCATAAGTTCTATTCTAGTAGTTTCTTTTCTCACACTTCTCATCTCTGGAACTCTTTTCTAGTTCCTTACTTCCCTGCCACCTACAATCTCCAAAAAAATGAAATGCAACATGAATTACCATTTTCTGTCTTCCTAAATCCTATTCTTTTATTGTCCTTTTCCCTCACTAAAGTCTTCTCTTTATCTTCCACTCCCAGTAACCCCTTGCATCTTTATAAGCATTAATGCCTTGCTTGGGCTGAAATAATTAAAAAAAAAAAAAAATTAATGTTAAATTAAATAATGAAGTCTGCTATGGCATATGATGATAAAAACAACTGTTTTTACTGATAGGATGCAATATAGTAAATTGTGCATTTCAAGACACAAAGTGTGGTGCACAGTTATTTGCAAAATATTCATAGACTAGCTTCCTTGTTATGCCAGAATTACAAAAAGAAACAGTTTCTGATACTAAACCAGGAAAAACTTGATATGTAATACACTCTTATAAATGAACTGATTTAAGTAAAGAAAAAAAATGTTTTAAAACAAGTTTAATATATTCATTTCTAACTTAAAATTCTTCATTCATTCCAGAAGTTTTATTTACCATTGCACTTCACAGAATAACCAAAACTTTGCTATTTAATTGTGAACTGCATTTGATTCAACCCTTGGCATCTTAGCAGCATTATTGCCTTGCATGGGATGAAATGATTTTTTAAAAAAATTATATTTTACATTTTTAGTAATTTTATTATATTTAGTTTTCAAAACAAGCCAAGCCAGATATTTATGAATAAAAATCTCTCTGACCTGAGCATATAGCCAAGAATACATATATAGCATATAGAAGGGTTAACTTGTACAGATGGGTCAAAAATTTGAATTTAAATTTATCTTAAAACTGTTAATTTTTTAAAATAAATACAATGTAAAAAGAATTAAAAATGTTTATATATACTTTTTATACTTTTCCATAGTAAAATTAGTTGATCATAAAACTTCATATTTGGGCTTCAGCTACTATTACTATATACCTTTCTGATGCTTAAGTCATGAGTACAATTTTTGATTTTTTTTTCATTCATGCAGGTTGTTTAAATGGAACTTATGGTGAGAGTTGCCGAAAATCATGCGGTTACTGTAAAGATACAAAATGTGACCCTGAAACTGGAATTTGCTTTGATGGCTGTCAAGCAGGTTATTATGGAGATACATGCAAGAAATGTAAGTTTCTTTAGGAAATTTATATATCCTTACATTTATTTAAGATATACAATTAAATATCTTTCTTTTTTTTTTCCAACATTATTATTTTTAATTTTTGATTTTTGAAAAGAGTTGTAGATAATTGTCCTTTCAACTGTGCTTTATTAAAATTTGAAACAGATTTCAATTTCATTGTTGTTCTGTGAAGCTGCTCTTGCATGTTGTATAGCATCACTTATTTGATGAAAAGTCAAACTATTTAAATCATGTATCAAGAACTTCTAAAGTGTTTCAGTGAATCATTCTTGTCAGTTTTGTTTTTTTTCTTTTGACAACATTTAGTTAAGTTTTAAAAAAGAGCAAAATTTTGCTTGATTTCATCACAATAATTAAGCAGAAGTCAAGTACTGTGGTCCATGCAAAATATATATAACTTCATGGAAAACAAAGAATTAACAATAGCAGTTTCTTGCAGTCACATGGTTACCAGATTTATTTTAGAAAGGCAAATGCTTATTTGATGATAAATTATTTTTATCAAGATAATATTAGTCCTTGCTTAAAGGTTGAAATTTTTAAAAAAGGGTTTGAGAAATTAAAATGATTTTTTAAATTTAATTTTTCACTAGTAAGAAAAAAAACAAATCTTTACAAGTAGATTGTTAAGATATTTTTTTGTATTCTTTAATACACATTTCATCATAAACTTCAACATATGACTTGTATACATGGTTTAAAATTTAGAAATCAATGGATCAAAGTAAATGTTTTAGACCTTCATTTTGCCCTTATTTATAATCTGTTAAGTCTTTTATGGCTGTTGTATTATTTTCTAATATCAGTTGTTAGTTATTTTAATACTTTAATGATTTCTTGATACTTGATTAAATGTCTTAGGAATTTAAGATGATTGCAATTATCAGTATCAATTTTCATGAATTCCTGAACAAAACATTGTGTGAAATCACATCAGTTTTCAAATGCTACACTCAATTAATTTTAAAGATTATGATAATGAATTACAAATATTGCATGTGAAATTTAAATTGTTAATGTTTTGACTTCAAGTAACACTTGGATGATTTGCCTGTTAGATATTTGCTGAGTTAGTGTCTTATTTATGGCATGGTTCATTTCATAAGAACAGTATTATTTTAATTATATTTTTTCATAGAAGCATTTTTCATTAAAAAATCAAAAAAATATTTTAAAATGTATTTTTTTTTTTTTAAATTATGCTTTGATTTTACTTTGTACAGATTGCCAATTATATTTTTCTTTATCAATTATTATATATTGAATTTGGTCATCTTTACACCGTTTTTTTTTTTTTTTTTTTTTTTCAGCTTGCCCAGATGGTAGGTATGGTTATGGATGCATCTACAAATGTGGCAATTGCTCAATCAGCAACATTTGTGATAAGGTCACTGGTGTCTGTAAACTTGGTTGTCTGCCTGGCTTTAAAGGGGCAACATGTCATGACCGTAAGTAGTTTCAATACATTCATTTTAATAGATTGTTATAGATATTCTCTGAAAATGTTGAATATTGTTTATTGAGTTTTTTATTTTATTTTAAATTTAGCATGTTCTGATCACCATTATGGCAAAAACTGTCATCTGCCATGCGGATATTGTAGGAAAGGAAAACACTGTGATCCTCAAAATGGAACCTGTTATGATGGATGTGCGTCAGGTTATATGGGAGACTTATGCCGGACAGGTAAGTGGTATTTTTTAAAATTGTAAGGAAGTACAAATATTGTAAAGGGTATTTTATTTTAGTTTTGTTTTTATTTTATTTTTTTAAAATTTGATGATAATCTATTTTGCGAGTCCAAAATGATACAAGGGAGACAAGTCATATGAAAAATCAAGGGAAATAACCTATACTGGTCTGCGGAGCGTAGCAGCAACACCACCGAGATAGGTGATGTTGGTAGCAGTCATCGGCGCAGAAATTCCGGTCAGTACTGTTGCGGTCGCTTGCCCATAAATCCTTTTCGGATAAGTCTGAATCCAAATCCTCCCCTTCCTCTCACCTATAGGTTAAATAGCAGTATAGACTAGACTTTCTATTTTTGTGTGATAGTCTAAAAGAAATAAAGTCAGGATTCCAAAACTGTGGAGAAGGTTCAGTGGGGAAACCACTCAATCTTTCCTTTTTCCGTCTTTTGAGACCAATGATTGCGTATCCTGAAGAGACATGGTATTTTAAATTTGCAGTGAATTTTGTCAATATATATTTTGCAAGGACAAAAGCAGCAGGGAAGTGAAATTTGAAAAAAATAATGAAAACATATTCTTTGAATATTTATAATTAACAACAAAAAACAATATTATAAAATTTATATTCCCTTTAGCATTATCATCATGACCAGCCACTTTGGATAGATGAAGCTCAACATCGGGGGTGCGGTGGGGTGAGGTGGTTGGCTTGGTGAAGGACCCTAATTTTAAACCTCTTCTGCCTTGCAGTCATATCATACTTTTATCTTGCAATATAAATGAATGTCTACTAAACTTATAGAGATTTAATGTACCATTTATTAAAGCCTAGTTATTAAAATTATATTCTGCTTTGCCAAAATAGAAAATCAGCTTTGATTAGTAATTGCTCTAAATTATTTACTTCAATATAAACATAGTTTCATGTCGTTTCACTTGTGAAACTCTCTTCTGGCTTCTTGCTTCCCAGTCAACTTTGATCTTTAAAAATTTAAATGCCATGTTAATGATTATCTTCTGTTTTAATTTCTGTTCTTTTATTGTTTTCTCTCCTTAATAGTGTTTTTTTTTCCCTCATATTCTCTCATTGCCCAGTAACTCTTTGTCTTCCTTGATTAAAAAAAAAAATACAGAAAAATCTAACTTTTGATGAAAGATTTTGCATTTTTCAATGAAATAATACTGAAAGATTTTGCATTTTTCAATGAAATAATACTAAAAGTAATTGTGTTAAATGTTTCTTATTATTCAATGCATTTAAACATTATCTATTTTAAAAGTTCATTTTTAAAAAAAATTGGGATTATAAGAATAATGATTGGTTAAAATCATAGCAGTTATTTACTGTTCAGTGCCTAACATGTGCAAGGTGAGTTTGGCTTCTTCTTGGTACACAATAAACGATGGGGGCTCTTAATAAAAGGCAAGTGATTGGAAATTCATTTAAAAGGTCTAAAAGTGTAATGCTAATGAATGGGCTTGGCTTAATAATAATGTGGGAATAGGTAAAAAAAATTCCCTTGAAAAAGGAAAAAAAAAAGGAAAAACATTATTTACATTATTCAGGCTGTTATCCTCATCTCCATTGCCATATTCACAATGTTTCAGCCATTGTACATTCTGGCCTTCTTCAGGTGATTGGAATTTCAAACCGAACCCTTTATTTCGCCCACTGGCTAAAATGTTGTGAATATGGCAATGGAGATGAGGATAAGTCTGAATAATGCAAATAATCATAATACTCCTCTCAGAGATATAGACAGATATTGGGTGGGGAATGAAAACAACTCCCTTTTATTAGTAATCTAAGCATAAGTACATCAGTATTTCAAAGATGAAAATATATTGGCCACAGATAATGCTTTATGTGAAAAGCAAGAGAAAAGGGAAACTTATAGTTACACTTTCTTATTAAATATGATTGATCATTTGTCATTGTATTCTTTTTGTTTTTACAGAAGATTTCTTACATGTTTTCTTTATTATTTATTTCCAAGTAATTAATGTGACATTTTCTTTATCTATAGAATGTGAGGATGGTCATTATGGAGAAAATTGTAACATGACTTGTGGTTGGTGTGTGAAAGGTAACAAAGCTTGTAATCGATATACTGGCCATTGTCTATCCGGCTGTCAAGAAGGTTATGAGGGCAGCACCTGTGCTGAAGGTAAGGAAATGCAAAATTTTGCTAGAAGATTCAATGAATTCAGATATATTTAGTTTTTACAATTGGATTAAAACATTACAGAATCTGAGTTTCTTACTCCCACAAAAACAAACTTGTTTGTTTTTTGAGTAAGAAAAATTTTAGAAACATTTTTTTTTTATTTAGAAATGTACTAACCAAATCCAACATAAAATCTATTTTTAAATGTGGATTTTTTTTTAATTTTTTTTTGGCTGTAATTTATTTTATTTCCCATTCACCTTTTTCTATTACTAAATGCAAAACTTTTTTTACTTTTGTTTCCTCTTTTTTAAAAGCTGTTTTACCTTTCTTTAGTTCTTATATATTATTTACTAAACAACTATAAAATGCTTACACATTAAACATTGAGCAAGGATATTTTTCATTAAAGATGTTAAAATGATTATTCATCATTATGAATGATTTCATTTAATATTTTATGAGTAGAATAAAATGAAAATTCTTCCTCTGTGGCCTTTCTTGTTTCTATGATATTCATAAAAGATATAAAGTAAAAGCTATCTCCAGAGGAATTCCTTTGCATAGTGCTTTTTAGAATATTTATGTAAGAGGATATGACGACAAAACAAAAATAGTATTAATGATCTTGTGTTGAAATGATTGATAGGCAAAATCTTCTCACATAATTTGAATATTTGTTTCGTCTGGTCATAAGATTGAATCACATTATGGATTACTTCATGAACCAATGAAAGAAAATAGTTACTAAGTTTGGTTTTGTTTGATACAATACTCTAATATTATCAAACTCAGTGAGAATCAAAATTAATCAAAATTACATTGTTAGCTAGTTGCCCTGTTGTAGGTGCCCATTAAAATGGTTTTGTGTATCTATTTAAAAAGAAAACCAAGTGGCAAAAATAACTTATAAAGATATTAATTACTAAAACAACACGTACACTAGCCATTCAGATTTTGTGATAAGTGTTAGAATGTATGTGTGTGCATGTATACAACTTATATATATAATTTATGAATGAATAAAACCTTTCTTTACCTGTAAGTTTTGTTCCTTGAAAGTATTTATCAAGGTAGTCCTTCAGGAGAGGAAACTTGTTGGTAAAGAAAAGTTTTATATTTGTCTTCACTCATAATGTCCTTTTACAGATATGCATTATATATATATATATATATATATATATATATATATATATATATATATATATAAAATATCTTCATTCAAGCATGTTTCATTAAATAATATAGACATATTATATATTTATTTTTATAATAATCCTTTCTATTTCTCTAATTTTCTTCTTGATGTTAAGTTGAAATTCATCAAGGAAGGTGCTGTAGTTGTTGTTAACCTGAGTACTTTTGATCTCCTCCAAGATCATCCTCAGAGGTGAATTGCGAAGACAAATTTAATGTAACTGTGATTGTTATGATCTTGATTTTTGTAAACATACATGAACATGCTCTGAAATAATTATTTTTAAATTAATCATTGTAGCCACGAGTTTTTTGTAAACAAGCATCCATGATGTAAGGGAGGTAACCAGGGATGGTAAAAATGCAACATGGCATTAAATGTTCGCCAACTCAAATGCATTTTTAAATATTGCTACTAAACTCATAATAAACTTTGTTCAGTGTTGGTTGGTTGCTTTTGATATATATGGATTTTTTTACGCATACATAGATGCCCGATTTTTATTTATTAAACACTATGTATCATGCCTATTGGCCTGTGCATTCATGAAATCTTAGTAAAGAAAATGTTTCCTTTGGCAGGGATTGAATATGTGTCCTCCTTTGTAGAGGAAACCACCATTTCATCTTGTGTGTTTTACTGCTTGATCATGTAAAGCATGCCAGATTAAATGGTTTTCTCTATAAAGGAGGATGCAGGTTCAATCCAATTTAAGCCGTGGAGCTGACAGTCTCTATGCAATATTGATTACTATGTGCATATACTCTCTATATCTACAAATGCTCTCGTTATTGTGCACACTTCTCTCGTTAATATAGCTAATTTTAAACAATATAACTGAATATACACCCACACATTAGAATCATAGGAAATTGCTTTGTTTGAAATTAATCCTAATGATAGTTTATATTTTTCTTGTGGTTTCAAACTGATTGTTTTTATTATTTCAGCGGTGGTGGCTTCAATGAAAGGCTCAACTACAGCAGCTGTGGTTGCTGCATTGCTCGCCTTCGTGCTCTTTGTCTTTGTTGCCTCCCTTGTCTTTCACAAGTAAGTAACCCACATTGCAGGAATCACTAACGCTTACAATTCCTTTCAGATCCATAACCTTTTTAGATTAACTCACTTATCAAGTGTAAATATTCATTTGCAATTTGTTATTAACTTTGCAGGTCAGTCATACAACCATAAAAATATGTGAAATTCTGTACTTTTTGGCTGACATTTCTTTGAAATATTCTCATATTGTTTATAGTACAGGTCTATCCATTGTTTCCTGTTTAGGATTGGGTTTCCAGTTCCTTCTAAAGTCTACTTCAACTCTATACTTCTAATGTCTCAATCTGAACCCTGAAAGTTTATATACTAATTTTTTTTCCCTATCTTCCCAATTGGAGTAGATATGTTTATTAATCATCCAGTTCACACTCTTCCCTGGTATTTTAAACTGAATTAGAGGTTCATTCCTTGTTCCCCGTTTCTGGTTCCTTTAGATTCTACTTCACTCCCAGTAACCACTTGCATCTTAGTGACATTATCACCTTGCTTGGGGTAAATTGATTAAAGAAAAAGAAATATAAACTCTTATTAATTTATAACAAGAAGCAGGTGAAGTTGTTAAATGATGATGATGTTTTTAGCAAAATAATGATTACATAACATCTCCCAATTACAGTTGTTAAATAATTTATTTATTTGAAAAATATGATATATTGATTTCGGAGGTATTGAAAAATTGCAAGCCATTGGGCTGTTAGAGCTTGATCAGAACAGAGATCAGCTGTCAGCCTCTGGTCATCTAAATTTTTGGAGGTGCACCCATAAACAAAGGGTCCGGCTCAAAATTCCAACGTATATTGCCTGAAGAAGTCCAGAGCATACAACAGCCAAAATGTTGTGAATATGGCAATAAAGATGAGACAACAGTTTGAACAATGTAAATAGTGTAAATAAATAATATTCAGAAAAATATAACGTCCTGATTTACAATCGATTGCAAATCCTGTAACCTGTAGGGGCATCACGCGTACTAGATATAGAAGTGGTGTTTCTTTGGCAAGATAGCCTAATGGCGCCCAACCCTCTCCGGGCCGGTTTTTGAATTCAGAGTTACTTTCTCCTAGACTGGTTGCCACCCAAGGGTATAGAACCCAGTCTGTCCTGCTATTTACCCGTAGCTGGAGGGAGAAAAAAAAGGATTCATACTTTTCCCAAGTGTATTAGAATGTAATGGATCCAACTGGAATTTGAACTCGGCTCTCTGATTCCTCAATGCAAGCTGCTATCTATTACTCCACCATACCTCCCATAACATCCTGATTAGAAATTTATAATCATGATTTTATAATTTTGATTAAATAGAATATCTTTTAATGTATTTTCTTTATATTTCAGAAATGTAATTCTTGGTTTAAAATGCAAATGGAATATATTGGAATTATTCTTTTATTTTCAGCTTGTGTTTTGTTCTAACTACAAGTTAAGTTGAAAGCCGCCATTATATTGTTTTGACATCATCAAGAAGAAACTTCAACCTTTTATTATCTATTTTTTTTTTTTTAACCTACAGATATTCCTTTCTATATAAATTATTTAAATAATAAAAGTTAAACAGAACCTCTACACCGTGTAATAAAATGAGATGTTATTGTAGTTATAAAAAATAATGCAGAATAGGCAAAATGTTGATTATAAAAATCAGATTCCAAATAATATCAATGACAAATTACTTTTTAATATATCATTTTAAAACTTATAGAAAGTGTACTTACCTATTTAGGACTCATTTTCATTTTAAGGACCACCATGTCATTTGGAACATTAGTTTTAAATTTACTTTTGTTTGGCGATTAACTTTAATTTTTTATCATTCTGTTTCCCTCTTTTTGCTTCTTCTTTAAGAAAAGAAATGTGATTTATTCAATGAATTTGAAAAATTTTATTGAAAAATTAAAAAAGAAATGTAATTTTGTCATAATGTATCTTTAAATATTTTACTCAACTAAGTCTGATGAAATGGTTTATTTCTTACAAACTTTGTGAAAGTACTTGTTACTAAACTTTTGCAGCTACTATTTTACAACCACATTTTTTTTCTTTTTGTTGGAAAGCTTTTACAGCCCAAAATCTTTCCTCATTTTTCTATGTTTTTGTTTTGTTTTGTTTTTTTTATTGATTAAGAAATAACTGTGTTTATTTGTCCACCTCAGATATCGTAGGAATCAAAAGATGAAGAACAATTTTGGAACGTCTGCAGAAGATGCCCCTGAGACGCATGAAGGTAGCAAAGAAACTGACCCTTTCCTCATGGCGATTCCGTATGGTAAGATCATACATGCCAACCCTACTACAACTATTACAGCTATACAATCAGCACATTGTTGTCTAGCCACATGTGTAATTATATATATATATATATATATATATATATATATATATATATATATAAGTACACACACTTCAGCTAGCACTTTGCAGACATGTAATAGTAAAACTGAGATAAAAATGCACTCAACAGTTCATTGACAACACAATAGAAAAACTTTATTTACACAACATGGTACACTATTTTCCTTAAGATTTCCTCATATTTAATATAAATTTATATTGTTTGTAAAAATTACCATCTATTTCCACATATAAGATGACCTTTAAATCCCCAAAAATCACCCTGATAAATTGGAATTTGTTTTAAAAAAAAATAAGCTTTAAATTCTGAGTGATGTTTGTCAGTAGGCTAACCTTTGCCTTGGTGTGATAACCAATAATGTACTTGAAAAGATACACATTATCAAATGAACTAATAATAACAGTAATAAAAACCATTTCTACCTTATATCTTGCTAGCATAACTTCATTATAAATTGCCTATTTGAAGAATAATTCCATATCAATGAAATCAACTTGTATCCATGCAAGCTCAGATGAGAAAATGTAAACATCAAGTTATTGTGTTCACGGCAATGGAATGTACTATTATCGTACTGTTATTAGCAGTATTTTGTGATTGTTGATGAAGTATAAGTAAATGGCTATTAGTACCCCAGACTCTTTGTAACTGTTTAGATATGGGAAAAGAAGAGGAAGAAAAGAATCAGTATTCACAAGAGATCATGATGAAATGAAAATAAAACAATGGTTTCCCTTTTAGGGAACGTGTGTAGGAAAAACATGATATAGATTCAGTTTTGTTTATTTTGAATTTCTAAGGATACAATAAGTAACAACATTCCCAATAACATCATTTATATAATCAATAAGCAGTCATTTTATGCTACAGGCATAGGATAAATTCATGAAAATTTGTTATATTTTTTGACCTCGTCTTATCTAAAGCTTGCCTTATATGTGGAAATATACAGTAATTTTGATATTAGTTTTTCATAAAAGTAAGCAATAAATTTTTGTCATGGCTAATTTTGTAAAGTACTTCTTAAAACAAAAATTTGATTACAAAATATAATATTTTTTGACTTGTGTGTGTGTATGGTTTGTGGTGTAACTGCAGTCATTTTAATTACATCTTCTCAATTCCAACCAGAAACTCATTGTAGACCTACAATCCCATGTAGATGCCCTTCTTATAAATGCCTGTCCATTAGTGGAATGCTCTTTTCAATTTTTCTTTTTTGCCTGAAATTGCTCATCAGCTTTTTATCGGATAGTAACAGCACAATTTCCATTTTTGAGTTTCTATAGCTTTTTTCTGTTTTTCATAGACTTATCACCAGCCTCCTCCTCCTCATCACCTTCATGTAAAATTGTAGGTCTACAATTTCTGGCAGGAAATCATTTCTTTTCTCTCCTACTATATGTCATTATTTCTCTTAATGGCAGCCTCTTTTTTATCATCATAAATGATAATGATTTTTCCCTATGAAATATAAATGCATATACTTCTAATAAAAGTGAAATGGTTATATTTTTATTAAAAAAATCCAAATAGGCTTTTGTCTGGTAACAAAACTATGTCCAGTTCCAGTGCTGATGGAGTTTCAGCTTAATTTGATAAATTTAATGAAATTATACAAAAGTTACACAAAATCATCGAATTTGATGAACAATATAACTTATGTCAAAATAAAATTTCAAGATGTTCTTGTTCAAGAAACCAGTTTGGAAAAACTTTATCCATAAATCTGGTATATATTCAGTATGATATTGAATTTTATAGTAGCACTTTGATTATTTAAACATTAATACACTGTGTATTTTGTTTTTAAAAGATTTAGCCATTTTGCAATCATCAAGAACACCACATACAGAGTTTGTTGTTGATAGCTGTTTGACCAAAATCAATGTTGATTTTGCTTAGAACTGATATCCTTAAGTTGTCCATTATCTGGAACTGAACTTGAAGCCAATGTGGTGCATTTGCAGTTATGGCAACCAATATAGGGCAATCTCTAAAAAAAATGTTCATCTTTAAAGAACTAGTACATTTTTATATATGAGGTCTTACATGCACTTATGTGATAAAAGCCCATTACCATAATTGTGATTCTTTTAAAGACAAGTATTACAAATTTTTATTAATATTGGATGTGCAAGTAATGTAACTGGAATTGGTGACAGGTTCTGTTCTGGTCTGTTTACATTTGCAGAAATGCTCTTGGGAGAACCTTAAAAATTCACCTCTTTTCCCTCAAATTATAACTTGCAGAGCAAGCTTTGGATGGCAGTTAGTCTAGAACAACAACAATTCTGGATTTAAAATCATGGAGAAAGCAATAAATCAATGGGGGAACTAATCCACTATCTTTCCCAAGAAGTAATGTTAATTCACAGTTCCTAAAGAAAAGGATAGTGTGAGATTTATGATCAGCTATGGCCTGAAAGGACATGTCAATTTTTTTTTTCTTTTTTTAAAAAAGAGAAGCATAATATTCAAAAGCTATTTTTATGGCTTTGAATGAAAAGAATGCAGAATTTTTATGCATACAAATCATTTTTAATTAAATTTTGTTCTACATATCCATATTTAACTAAAAATTAGGAAAATGAATCTTTGGTGATTTTGCAAAATTATTTCTTCCTGTAAAACGGCGAAAGTTTTGTGCTTTACTCAAACTAAAACACTCCTAACACAACCAGTATAACTTTTAGAATTTAGAACAATTGCTAAAATACTTGACAGTTTTTAAAAGAAACTTGAAACTTAAGTCCAATAAATCCTATTTATCAAAAGACGTTGTAGAAATGCACCTTCCTTTATCAAAACATCTATAATCAGCTTGCATTGTATTTTAAAAGTGCTACAAAGTGCAGTAGATGAAAATGCATCTCATCACTTCTTTCTCACTATTATCATGTATTCGGAACAAAATTTTAATTTATGCTGGAATTTGATTGTGAGATATTTTGTTTCCGATTGTCAGACCTTTTAAACTGAATGACTGTTGGATTATATATTTGAAGTTTTTTTATGTTTCTTCTCTTTCATATACATGTAAATGTGCGTATGTGACGTGTGAATATGTGTGCACATGTAGAGAGCCATGCAACACAAGTTTAGTATATAAAAGTATACCATGTTGCTAAATGAATTAAAAACACTTATTAATAAAATAGAATAGAAACAACCAAAACAGCTATCATCACACAAAGTTTAATCAGAATAACATCTTCAATAAAACGTTTCCCCTCTTTTTAGTTACTCCATTTTATTTATTTATTTTTTGATAATCCTTTGTTATACGTCATTTCTGGGATATATTGCCTTTTAATAAGTCTCCCAATATAATCTCTAATTGATCCTCAGTTTGAACTAAGGACTGCATATTTTTGTCCTTGTAAATAAAGAACATTTTTGAAAACTTGCTATTTAAGCCTAAGCTTTTATTTTGAGAACTGTGATTTGATAAAGTTTGCTTACAGAATTAATTCTTATATGTATTCTACTATATATTTTAACTAAACTATTAAAATATTTTTTTATATAGAAATTTCAGTAAAAATTCAAGAAAAATTTTCTTTCATTTCTATAGAATTGTATCTGTTACAGATGTACAGAGGGAATAGTTTTTGTTGTAAATTTGTATTTGTTAAATGGTCGATATGTCGATAGTTTATGCCTTGCTCTCACTATTTTAATTGAGAATTGACTACAGGCATCTTTATAAATATAGTCTGTTTTGGTTGTTGCTAACATTAAAATATAGTCACAGAAGACTTGTTAAAATGTGAATTCTATGAATACTTTGTATTTTATGAGTTTGTAATAATTTAAAAATTGCAATGTGGCTTTCAGTTGAAATTATGCCCGTCGTAAAAATATTCAAGATGAACAAAGCTTTTATGATAATTCTTATAGAACGAAATTGGGTTGGCATGTATGTCGAGCAGATCTTTCTACTCCTGCCCACTTTAGAAGGTGGCAGAGGCTGTCCCTGGCACTCATCTCTACTGTTGCTGTGGCTGCTGCTGCTGCATTCATCAGCTTCAGGCTTCATTCATTCTAAAATCAACAGAAATGCTGCCCCTTTCTCTTTTCAGAAATTTCATATCACCTACAAACAAATGTATAAGAATGTACTTGTAAGTGTCAGTTGAATTCTTTATGGGGATAAACTCTCTTTGTTATGATTTTTCATCTTCTTTCTTTCATCACAAAACATTTGTTGTGTTCAATATATTTGTATATTCATTAGTCATCATTTTTATTTAAATTGAAGTGATTTGTGTTGATTTTATATGAAACGATGAAATTAATCAGCTTGTTTTATTAGACAAAGCTTCACATAATATTAACACTGGTCACTTGTAAACCATTTGAGAAAAAATTTAGCATGAGGCTTTAAGATCTTTTAAGAGTCAACTTCAATAAAATGACATAAAAAGGAAAAAAAATGTACATGTTAGTTTTAATGGTCCTCATTAGAATCCTAAAAAAAAAAAAATGAAAAAATAAATGTTTTTGAAATTAAAAAAAACTTAAATTTAATATTTTAAAGTATTTGAATATTGTAACAAAAGTTTTAAAAGCATTTTTTAGAAAATAAATATTTATTTGTAGCTTTCAGTCTTAATAAGATTTTTATATAAGTAAAATACAATGAAAAAATAGAAATGTACTCAATGAATGCTTCTTTAATCATGTTTGATATATCTTGTGCACTTAAACATAATTACACTAAAAACAAAAACTATGTGAATTTAATAAAGCAATTGTTTTCATTATGTTGATGATCAAATAAAATTCCAATAGTAACTCTTTAAATAAATTCTGAAAACATACTTTGTATTAAGCATGTACTTTTGTCTAGGCTTTCTTTTTATCATAAAAAAAATGAGTAAAAAGGAAAAATATGTTAGAATAATATTTTTATAATTCCATTTAGAAATAAATATTTGAATTTTTAAAGTCTAATATAGGTAGGTGATAAGAAAAAAAGGGGTAATTATTAATAAGATTTTTTAAATTAAAATAAGAAATATGTCCCTCCCAATGTTTTTGGCCTTTCTTGATGTCCATTACTTCCAGCAGAGCCAGTCTCCAGCATGTCACCGCCAGTTCTTCAGTTTCATCTTCTGGCATGAAACATTGTCTGCAAAACATTTGAGTCTTTTAGCATATTTATTTCAATTTTTGCTTTACTTGTATTATCATTATTCTTATAATTGTTACTTTGCAAGGCAATAACTTAAAAAGATGTGGCTTTTTGAATGTGCTTTTTTTTTATTATTATTTTAGATTTCTTTTTATTTAGGCTCTTGATTAACCTTTTATGTCTATACAGTTAATGTTACCCAATATATGTTTCCTTGAATTAAAATAGACATTTTATCTATAAATGCATAGTTTGTTTAGAAATACACTTTATGAATATTGTCTGTCTCATTGAATACCCCTGTGTGAATGGTCTGTTTGTACAGTACCAAAGTGTTTTGTGGTAGTGCACTTCAATAAAATGAATGCTAGTGTTTTTTGCTTGTTGCATTCACAGGGAATTCTAAAAATGTAGTATGTAGTGGTTAATTTTCTTAAGTATAAGCTTGTATCTTGCTATATTATTAAATGTTTTAAAACAAATTTTACAACTATCATTGTCGACTGTAATGTGAACCATAATATTTATGTAAAGTGAATATTTTGTTATGTCAGTAAATAAATATTTAGCATTGATTTCAGAATCTATTGTCATAATTCATAAACTATTCCAATTTTTTATAAAAAAGAAATAACCATCAAAAATGATAAATTTATATGGGGGTAAAAAAATAGTGCTTTACTACATTTATACTTGAGTGTGGCTACTATAAAAAGGAAAAAGAAATTAGATTCATCTCTAACATATTCTTGTGATTTCTGTCTTAATTTCTGGAATGAGGAGTTATCATTATTTACATGTGGATTATTGTCCTCATCTTTGTTGTTATTATCACAACACTAAGTCCATTGTACCATCTGGACTTCATCAGTTTTAGTTGCTAGTTGATCCAGGAAGAGAATTTTGAATGGAACACTTTATTTAATCTATGCAAGTAGATTGTTCTCATTCTGCTGAACCCTGTCTAAGGATACCTTGTCTTATTTTATTACTATTCAGTTATTGCTCATCCTGTTTCCATTGAGTCTAAGTTTGTAACACCCAAATTCACACAGTTTCTCTTTAATCCACAAAGTTGTTGTTTCATGAGACAATCCTGAGTGTACAACTTGGAGACTTAAACCCAACCTGCCTGCATGATAGCAACATCAGCAGTGTCATCAGCAGGCAGATTAGGTTTAAGGTTCAAAGCTATATACTCAATATGCTACAGTCTAGTGGATTAAAGCATTTTCATAAATTTGGCATGGTAATTGTGAGTTTAATTCCTAGGTCAGGTGGTGCAGAATTGAACTCAATGAAAATGGGCCAAGCATTAACTGAGAAATACTAAATAAGAACTGGGTGAGATATCACTAGACATGGTCAGTGGAACAAGAACAATCAACTCCCATAGATTAGATAAAGTGTTAACTTCAAAATTCTCTGAAGATTACCTAGGTCAACAAGTACCTGATGAAAGCCAAAGAGCACAACATCTGTAAGCATTGTCATAAGAACAACAAAAATGAGAACAATATCCATGTGTAAATAATGTAAATATTCCTATTATTCATCAGTTTTATATCCATATTTTTCAAATAAATTATGTTGCTTTGTTAATCTTTTTCAAATTTCTTTTATGAAACCTAATCTCACTTCATAATTTTCAGACTTTATTATGAATGGTTTGTTTATTATTCCATTTGCATTTACCTGTCAGTCATTTTTTTTAAACTTTGCAGTATTGAATAAGAATTATTGACTCCTAAATCTGATTCCTTTACAATACTTTTAGATTATTTTTTACTTTTGATACTTCAGTTTAATTTTAGTATATTAATTTATTTCTTTAATATATTCTTAAATTATATGGAACAAAAAATTGCTTATAAAAAATTTTTTTTAAAGACTTTGCAGTTGAGCCATATTTCATCTGGCCTCCTTTTGGTGTTTGTCAATCTGTGTAACATTCAGGGAACTTTTAACTGGACCATTCATTCAACCTATGGGGATATAGATTGTTTTCATTCTGCTGTCTTTGTCTAGGTTAATTCTCCTATTTTAGAATTGTTCAGTTATTGCTAGTACTGTTTCAACTCAGTCTGAGTAGATCTGTACCAACTTGCCCAGAGATTGAACTCACAAGTACTATGCCCCCAAATTCACTATATAATGCTTTAATCATCTGTGCTCATCAAGCCCCATGGAATGAAGTAAAAATAATAGATAGAGAAGAACACTGGAGAATTAGATATTTGAAAGAATTTACACATGTACTAAGCTATGATGGCCTCATCAGTATGGAAGCTGTTAATTAAGAAAGAAAAAAACATGCTAAATCTACATGTAATTAATAACAACATAAGACTACAAGGACAAAAGAAAAGAGAACCAACAGCAGAGGTTGCCAAGTTTGGCAACAAGGCTGCTGCTGCTGCTGCAGCAGAGGAGGTAAAAACAACTTGGTTTTAAGGCTCCAAAAATCTAGCTTCAGGATTGTCCTACATGCTAGAGGATTAAAATGTTGGTTCATGAATTTGCTGGCTTAGTAATTGTGAGTTCAATCCCAGAAGCAGTTAGTACACTCAGACTTTTGGAAACAGGTTAGCAATAACTGAGCAGTACCAAAAAATTGGACTAGACATAGGGAGTGGAATGACAATAGTTTTTTTTTTTTCATTCTACTGAACTGTACCTTTTTTTTCAATCTATTTCTATAAATTGAATAAAGATTTCAGTTTGAAATTCCTTGAATATACCTGGATCAACAGACAATTAGGAAAGGATGATACAGCAGCCAAAATCTTGTGATAGTATCAACAAAGATGGGAACATTAGTCTGACTAAAAATAATGGTAACTCCTTGTCCCAGAAACTCAGACAGAAATGAGCCACAAAGTATATTAAGATTTCTTTCTTTAAAATTTGTAGAGTTAGTAATATCTGGAATAAGTCTATTGGACATAAATTATCAATTATATAAAAGAAAAATGTTTTAATTTTTATAATTCAATTGCTACCATTATTATTGATAGCAATGGTTCTGTTCATAACATTTTACAGCTTAAAATATTTAGAAAATGAAAGATGTTTAAAACTAAATATTGTTTCATCTTCACTGTTGTTACTACTCACTAAAAGATTTTACCCAAGCATTTATTATTATTATTATTATTTTAAAAAGAAACTTCTTAATGAGTATTAAAATGTTTGAATATTTACAGAGTTTTTATGTAATAAAAAAATGCTAAATAATGTTTGATGAAATATATCTTTATTTGTTGCTTGTTGTTTTGTTTTTGTTTTTAAAATAATGTCATTTTCATAGCAAAGGTTTCAATAAATCTGATATTACCTGTCAGAACAACCTTTTATATCAGGAAACTAATTTTCATGTTTTTATAGCTAAAGAAAGCATTTCTGCAAATGTATATACCATCTTTTGAGTGTATCTAATTTTTACTGAATATTACACAAGCCCTTCAATTAATCTTTTCCAGAAAATGGATGCACATATATTCCACCTACAACTCATTCTTCACCTGACATCTCTGAAATTGGGGAAACTGATGAACCATTTTATGCAAATGTAAACACCAAAAAAATGAACAGCCCTGTACCACTTGATGAACTTTATGATTATATTCAAGGCAACAAAATGAACAATAATGCAGGATTCAAAAAAGAGTTCAAGGTAAGTTTTTATAGAAATTTATTTTTTATTCTTTTATCAAAGTTGGTGTTTTGCCTCTTGTTTATTTTCTTTTTGATTATTTTTTATTTGCTAATAAGGAAAAATAAAATAAAATTCCCATTAGTCATCATCTTTTTCCTGTCTATATCTTTCACTTTATCATTTTCTCATTTAGAATAATACAAAATACACTTTGTAAGGTAAGAAATCAAAATGACTGATTGGTATTTTAATGAAATTTCTTGAATTTATACTCATTATTTCCTCATTTTTTTAAAATCAAATTTTAAAATTATTTTTTTAAATCACTGGAACAAGCAGTATTATACTGATGAGAAATTTCCTAAAGGGATGAAAATCTTTATCTTTGAAGCATAAGGAAAAAAACAAAAAATCAAGATAATATTCTTTCCAAGATTTGTTTGGACAATTGACTTGTTGCTGGTATTGCTTCCATAATTTAAGTGCATACCATGTATAAGAAAAATGGCTGAAGATTAATCTTTTTTAATGAGGGAAGAATTTTGCAAAACATTGCAGTTGGAGTGAAGAAAATGACTTTTCAGCATACACACACAAAATTATCTCACATATAGGTTTCATCTTTAAAATTGTAAATATCAGCAAAACTTTCAACAAATACACATAAAATTATAAAAAAATATATGTTAATAAAAAATGAAGCAAAAAAAAGTATTCAGTACCCATTCATAAATGATATACCACTGGACAATGAAAATTTCTAGACAGTTGTATGTTATCCTAGTAGTAGTTAATATTTCTGAGTTGATGGAATGGTTGACATAGCGTCTCTACAAGGGAGAGAACTCAAATAGCATAGAAAAACTATCCAAAGCAGAAGGGGAAAAAAGTCTAGTATAGCAGATCATATCTGAAGAAATATATTATAAATATTACCTTTTCTGTGATAATGTCTGAATAATAAATCAAAATGCTGCTGGAGAGTGAGAAAATAGATCATGTTAGCAAGATACATATACACTTGTCTGGATTTGAACATGATAATTTTTTATTATTTAACAGAGACCTAGTAAAAAATTATTTGGTTAGCAAAGAAAGCATTAGAAAACACCTCCATGTGTAAGTTATGGAATAAGCTATATTAAGCATGTTTCTGAAAATAGAATTACTGTGAATGTTTTGTATTTTCTGGTTTGTGCTGTCATAAAAAGAAACTCTCTTTCCATGTGGATACTAAACATGAATAAAGCTGTAGATTTACTGAAATATGTGAACAATATAAAAAACACAAAGAATGAATTCAAATGTCTTAAACATCTCTTGGATTGATAACGTCTCAAAATAATAAACAATATTGGAACATTTGCTTCACCACTGGCCCTTTTAGGACTGCTATCAGTTGTCTTATATTTGGACAACAGTTTTAAATATTTGTCACTTATATTTTGAACATTTTGTTATTGAATTTTTGATAACTGCATAAAAAAACATATGTTCAAGATTAGTTCAATCATTATCTTCTTTCAAATGATATTTATAACCTCATCAGCTTTGCATTTTGAATCTGATGGGAATATCGATTTGTTCCATTATCAATTTCTGATTGAAATTATTTTTATACTATTTCCTTTTTCTCCCCACTACAATTTTTGATTGGATATTTTAATTCATACGTACAGTTAAAATATATTTTATCAATACTTTTATTGTATTGTTTATTTGACATGACTGCAACATTTTGGAAATCAATTTCTGTATAACTTTTATATGATTATATTTTGTGTATCATCCATAATACATTATGCTTCCTTCTAATTGTTGTTGAAAAACTTAATCATTTCTCTTTTCCTTATTGTAGCAACTTCCTGAAGGTTTATTGGCAATGTGTAATACAGCCAGGCGAGAGGAAAACAAAGACAAAAATAGATATAAAGATATTATAGCTTGTAAGTATTTTGATTTTTGTTTATTAAGTGAGATTTCTTTTTATTAGTTTTATTTGCTTTATTAATTGAGTTTGCTTTTGTTTCATTTCTTTCATCAGATGACCACTCTCGTGTTCATTTGGATTTAATACCTGGTGACCCTTATTCTGACTATGTCAATGCTTCCTATCTTGATGTAAGTTGTTTATTTTATTTTATTTTATTTTGTTTTACTTGTGAAACACACCTGCAAATGTCAAAGTAAACTTTAGGCAAAGATCTTGTCAGTTGACATCTGGTATGCTCACTGGTTTCTGATAAATCAAAATTGTTGCTGTTTAAAAATAAAAAGACAAAAAAAAAAATTATATATCTGTCTATATTTCTGAGATATGGCATTGTAACTATTTACATTATTTACAGTGTTTGGACTATTATCCTAATCTTTTATGTCATATTCACAATGTTTCAGCCATTCTTTGCTCCGGCTTTCTTCAGGTGAGTGGAACTAGAATAATTTACCCCAGTGGACAAAATAAAGGTTTTGGTTAAAAATTCCAATCACTTGAAGAAGGCCAAAGTGTACAACCAAACAATGTAAATAATGTAAAATAAAAGTAGTTGTTCAAGTTGGAACTAGTTTGACCATTATATTGGTATCAGTATGCCATATACCTATTAGTTTTAATAGTCATCCAATTCTTAGAATGTGAGATTATTGCAATCTGCAATTTGTTTTTTAAGCTTATCTTCTTGCTAATACATTGAATTATGAATAATATCATAGTCATGGCATAAGCCCCCTTGATGCATTTCAGTTGTAGAGCCACCACATGTATTGTAGTCATAGCAGCAGAGGTGCATTGAGGGAAAGATAGCCTGGCATAGTTCACTCCTATTCAGGCTGGTTTTCTTTCTGGTTTCTATCTCAAGGCAAGAGGGCCTAGTCTGCCCTACTATTTAACTTATAGCATGGTGGGAAAGAGCTGGATTCATACATTTCTCAAGGGTATTTATGCAAAAGTGAGCATAATGAACTTATCTGGAATTTAAACTCAGATTGTCAAGTTTTCTATCATTACAGAACCCACATATCTATACTGTAATAGACTGTATTTTAAATACTGATTTATTTTAAAGAAATACCTTCAATACTGTTCAGATTTATTACTTAGAAAACTTTTAATGAAATGTAAATAAAAATCTTTCATTTTTATTTTATATATTTTGAATGTTGAATTTCTAAATATTTACTTTACACAGGGTTACAAGAGAGAAAAGGCTTATACTGCATCTCAAGGTAAGTAAAATCTTTCTTAACAAAATTAAAGAGTATTATACTAATTATAAAAATGCTCCTTAGTAAATTTTTCTTTTTTAAACATTTCTAATATTAAAATATTTCTTATGAATTCAAACTATTTTATTAATTTTGATTTAAGGAAAAAGTCAAATGGCACCAAAATGAAATAAATGAGAGACACCTTTTAAAGTTACTTTAAGGCAGCTAATCAATACATGTGAATATCTAAAATAATATGACTGCTATTATTAAGATGATGGAAATTGGCATGTGGAATAATCTCTCCTTCACTTTAACATATAAACCAGAATGTTAATATAAATATTGTTTTCATTTCAGGACCAAACAAGGCAGTCGTAAAAGACTTCTGGAGAATGGTATGGCAGACAAATATCTGCAAGATTGTCATGCTTACAGATACAGTAGAAGCCTGTAAAAAGAAGTGTGAGAAATACTGGCCTGATTCCGGCACTCAGAAGTATGGAGAAATTATTGTGGAAAATATTGACAATGCTCAATTCACAGATTATGTTATCAGGACTTTTAAATTGAATTCAGTAAGTTATGTTACATTAAAACATTCTTGGTAATAGATTGTAAATTGGTAATGGTATTTGCAAGCAATAAAATTAAATGTAATTTATAATGTTCCTTTGTTCAGCATCACTCAAACTAAAGACAGCAAGTTTCAAAGACATATGCACATGAAGATATTTATAAGTTTGTTTTATTCTTGTTTTAAAGTTATTTCTGTATATTAGTTATGGTCTCAATCTCAATTTATTTGATGCTGGCAATTAGACCATTAGGGCAGGTCAATTCAATCTGAAAGTTGGGGTTTGACATGATAAATAATGACAAAATATTTTTTCCAAATTGTTACCATTTTTTGAAAGAAATGAGTTCAAAGATTAAGTTTAGGTTCAAATTTGTAGTATTGGAGTTTAATTCTGGTGATCAGTGAAAACCTTATAGCACAGCTTTATAAAATTTATAATTTCTGAAACTTTACAAACTACATGGACAAGATGCATGACACAAGCACATTATTACTAAATCATTGTGCCATCAAATAATATTTTCATTTACTTCAAAAGGAAATTATACTGAATAATTTAGATATTGCATATTATACAGTGCAGTAGTTTTAGTGTGATTTTCAATAAACAATGAAAATTTAAAACATTTTGCCTTATAATTTGTACCAATCAGTATTATGGTGTTATATAGACTTTTATTTCTTTTTGTTTTTATTAATTTTGATCTAACAAATATTATTCAGTAAGTAACCTTTTTTATAATCTTTTAAAATTTTTCTTATAGTTTTTACGTATTGAATACAATAAAAAATTTACATATTTTGCTTGTAGTAATTCATAATTAGAATTCTTCTTTGAATATATTTTCCATTCAATGTATCTTATACAAAAGATGTAAACTTTATTTGTATTTATTCTTGAAATAGTAAAATTTTAAAGTCAGTCTGTAAGCAAAAACCTGTGAAAATTAGGTATTTCTGTACATTTTCTCACTTTAAAACTAAATGCTCAAAAACTGGTAAAAGCTATGAATCTAATTTTTGGTGTCAATAGTAATCACATCAAATCCTAGCTTTTATACAGAGTGCAATGTTGATTTTCTAAAAAAAATGTGAAAAATCAACCTGTTTTATTGGATCTTCATGGCATTAAGTCTAATTAACTTGCCATTGATCTGTCACTACAAAATACCTAATGGTAATCCAAATGGTTAATATCTAGGGCTAACAAGATTGTGTATAATGAAACATCAGCTTTATTGTGTGTTCCTCACAATTGTATAGTTTATGCAGTTTATTCAATCTTGAATCACCTGAGGGGCTTTTACAATTTGTTCTTTTATGTGCTATGCCCTTTCAAGACATAGGTGATCATAGTGTTTACTATCTTTTGTTGCTCTAAATCACTTTTAATTCACTATCCCTCTTTGTTCTTGTTCTGCTGTCTATTCACAAAAACTTATTAAGTATATTATTTACTGTTTTTCCTTTGCTTCTCTTCAGTATGTCCTGTGAATATTAAATTCTCCAGGCCCTTTTTCCTCCATTATTTTTTTAAAAAGATTTCCAATGTTCCCTTCTCATTGTAAATGTAGGTTCCCTTGTAGTTCCTAAAAATTTCTTCATTGTACACATTTTGTCCATAGTATTCTTGGCATTCATCAGTAGAACAATGTTTCTGTCGCTTCAAGTTTCTTTTTTATCTGCAAGAAGATTGTCCAGCATTCAGTGCCATATAGGAGATTAGATAGTACATAGCAGTCTAGTACTTTTTTTCCTTGTTTCTAAGGACATTCATCAGTAGAACTGCATCTGGGTTGTTTCAAGTCTCTTCTTTATCTGTGAGGAAATTGTCTAAGAGTCATTGCTGTACAAAAAATTAAATATTAGAAACCAGTTCAGCACTCTTTTCTTTGTTACTCATGGAATTTTACTATCTCTTAATTATTCGCTTAGTTTTTGGAAGACATCTTTCACTATTCTGGTGCATGTTTGAATTTTTAGGCTACATTTTCCATCTGATACTACACTACCCAGATAATTGGCTTTTATCACTCTGTATGTGATTTCATTTGCTGTACAAAAAGTTTATCCTGCTACTGAAGGTCACTCTGATCACTGAACAATAATGTGTTTGAAAATTCATACTTGTGTTGTCATATCATACTAGTATGGCAACAAAGAACAATTTTGAGTGAAATTAACAATAAGGATATTGCAAATGAGTAGCCTTGAAAAAGAATTCTGTGGAAAGGGAAGTAATGCCAAGTGCTAAAAGTTAAATTTCTATACTTGCTTGAGTTTGATGTCCCTAGTACATAGTTCACATCTTGACTGTCTCTCTTAAGTGTCACTCAAGCATTCTGTCTTACAGTTAATAGTCCTTTCTTCTTGCTTTCCTTTATTATGTTGTGTAAGCGTTCTTTCTGTTTTGCTTCTGAGTTGGTCATCAATACAGTATCATCTGCCTACCTTAACCATTCAGCCACTGTTATATTTTTAGAAGATTGTTACATCTAGATTCAGTCATTTGGTTTCTATTCTGAATTGCTTTGGGACTATTTCTATAATTTTCAAAGACAGTTGAACTTATTCTCCTTTTTTGGTTGTTCTCATATTTCACCTGATCATTTTTTTTTTTTTTTAAATCATTTCACCCCAAGCCACTAAGACACAGAAGCTGGAGGTACAAAAAGTGAGAGAAAATGTTATAACATTAAAAACCCAGGATTCAAGGAGACAGAAAATGAGGACTGATGCTGCATTTAAATTTTTGAAGATTTGACAGGAAACTAAGTAAGCAGAAGAGAGTTCTTCAAGCAGGAACTGCAAGTGGAAAAAATATTAGCATAGAACTTACACTTAGCAATTTTAACAGTAAAATGCTGAGAGCTAGCTGCCAACGTAGTCCTGTGCTTAAATTCATGAAGTTGAGGTATCAAAGAAGAAAGCGCAACAGAAAAATTACCATGAAAATATATTAAAAAAAGGCACAGGAAAGCTATGTTACAGTAGTGGGAGTTGACTGAAGACTGAGAACACCAGGTCAGATTCTGCCTCTTTCATGTGTGAGTAATAGATTAATAGAAGAGAAGTTGGAACATGGAAGTAACAAAAATCACACACACTAAAAAATAAAAATGTGTTCAATTGTTTGGAAATCTCTTTGAATGCTGACTATGAATTTACTCTGTTTAATAGAAAATCTTATTTATTCATTTTAAATATTGGCAGTGATCATTTTTTGATATAACAGTTTAAATTCTTTCTCTATATATTATTTGGTTACAAAGTGCTTTAGGTTATTTTATTGACTATGATTAACATTTTTTTTTTTTTTTTTTTTTTTTTTTGCAAGTGTTTTTTTATTTTTTTATCTTTTTATTTTATCATATAATTATTGTATTTCTTTGTATAGATAATTTCAACATTTGTTTATATTTTTTGATTGTTCATAGAATGAAAGTTCAAGGATTGTGAAACATTTCCACTTTACAACCTGGTCCGACCATGGGGCACCAACGTACCCGACTACATTACTCATTTTTAAGAGGAAAGTGAAAATGTACAACCCAGACAGCTTGGACCCAATCTTAGTCCATTGCAGGTATTTGTCACATTTCATCTTTTACTGCTGCCCCTGATATTTAATCTGTCTCTATAAATATATATCAGATCATTGCAAAAGTTGATTCTTGATTTTCATTGTTAATATAAAATGACCTCAACTTGACATTGACATTTGTTTTGGTGCTGATTTCTGGTGTGTTCTTAATTGGAACCTTGCATCATTCAGTTGTGATTCAGACTTTGTTTATTGTTGTCATTTAGTCCAAAAATGAATGCCTTAAAGTTGGAGGATGAAAAGTTGCACTTTTGCCATATTATACACTATGAATTTTGGAAAGCCGTAGATATTGGAACTGTGACAAAAACATTCAAAAGTTTTATTTGCATCAGCTCTTCAGACTGTCAAAAAGTGGTTTGTCATGTTTTGTCAGAGTGATTATAACCTAGGTACCACCACTGAATTTTTGGTACCTAAGTTTTAAAATTAAATTTTAAAAATGAAAAAGCATTCTTGAAGATTTCATTCTAGTTTTAACTGAAAGCTAAATGATTAAATTTATTATTTCCAGCAAGTAAAATATTCTGGTCTATTTCAGATAGAAATTATATAGATTGGAATGTCAAGTAATTGCTTGATTTTCTTTTTTTTTTTTTTAAATTGGCCATTTCCTTAATTTTTAAGAAATTTTTAAATAAACAAATTTATCGGATTCAAAATTCTCACTTTACTTATAGCATAAAATAAACAATATACAAGCATTTCTTAACAATGGGTTTCTCTTTCTTTGATCTTTATTGATTTATTGAGAAGCACTTAAGGTGATGACAGCTCTTATGGATGACCAGAAATCACATATTTACAAAAACTAAATGAACACATTTTTTTTTAGTTTTTAACTACTTAGTAATTTTTACAAATTATCATATTTTCAGCAATTATTCAATATTTTCTTGTCTTATAGTTAGGTTTTTAAGAAGCTTTATGAAATTTGCATTTTGTCTCCAGATTCTTAAGTTTACTACCTTAAACAAAAAAATTAATTAAAAATTAAAAGTATGACCCAAACTAAAATAAATACATAAAATAAAAATATTTAGTGAAATAGCAGTTAAGAAAAATCAAAATTTTTTTTGAAGGGATGATATGCAAAGACATTAATGATGAAACAGAACTGAGTTAAAAGTGAAATAATTGCAGACGGCACTTAAATAACATGACCTTTTTAAGGATTGTCATGTATAGATTCCCATAGGTAGAAATTAGGAACGTTTTTTTCACTAAAAATTATTTAAAAAATATTCTGGTACAAACGACTGTTATGAGCTTTTCAAATTTTGATTCATAAATTTACTTTTCACTTAACGATATCACCAAATTGCATTCTTGAAAGCAATGAAGAATTTTAAATAATTTTTGAACTATTATATTATTATCATTAAAATTTTTAAAAATGAAAAAATTCTTGTAAAAATTCATTATTCATTGAAAAATTTTTATTTCCCCAAACAATAGTGTCCTTAATATAACTTATTTACAAAAACAATTAAAAGCTTTTCTAATTAAACGTCAGTTTTATTGCATTTTTTATTTTATACTTCAGAGCAGATTTTCAATGAAAATGGTAACTGTTTTACGAAAAAAATTGATGATTTACTTTCTCCAAAGAGTTCCGTTCTTAACTAATGAAAAAAAATCCTCTCCTTAAAAATTTAATTTCTCGAAATTTCATGAAATTATGAAACTAAAAAATAATTTCATTCATTTCTGTATATGTCCTGAAAATTTCATTAAAATCCGACAATTATTTGTATTTTGAAAGAATTTCTAAATCAATGTGTTTTCCTCAGAAAAAGCACAAATAAAACAAACCTTTTTTCTTTTTTTTTTTTTCTCTAGTTTGCCACTGTCATAAAAAAAAGAAAGAAAAAGATTATTAACCAAAATTTTGAACATGCTAGAAAGGAGAAAAAATTTCAAAAAATAATAAAAGAAATATACCTTGGTCTTTCCTCTTAATAATAACAAACATTTTGATGACAAAACTTTGTTTTTATTGAGTTTGGGGCCTTTTTTTCATCATGCTATGCTGTTTTTTACACCACCTATTGGAGGTACCTATTATAATCTAAATGATATACACTGGGGAACCTTCTGGCATCAATGAAGACACTCTGAAGATTTCAGCAGATGAGATTGCTAATCGATATCTTAACTGCCTTTCACAATTTGAAGAGACTGGCATTCAATAAAAGGGCCTATTTTTGGCAAATCAAAAAGGTGTCATTTTCCACCACAACAATGCAAGACCAAATATTGCAAAACAGATCTTGCAGAAGCTCAAAGAGTTTAAATGGTAAACCCTCCAGCAGCCATCAGATTCTCCTGACTTGGTTTCTTCAGATTTTTATTTGTTTCTACAGAACAATTTAAATGACAAAAACTTTGACCCTACACAGTCAGTCAAAAATTACCTCACAAAAATAGCATCAAATAGCTTGTCGAATAAGAGACAGTTGTTAAAAAACAGTGGAGACTATGAAACTAATAAATGTTTTTTTTTTTTTTTTTTTTGGTATGTAAAATTTTGTTTTTAATTTTCTAATTGGGCACAAACTTTTGCAATGATGTAATATCATTATATGTATAATTTATTTTAATTTCTTTTTCCTTCCTTAGTGCTGGGTCTGGAAGGACTGGTACATTTGTGGCCCTGGATTATTGCATGGACCAAGCTAAAGCAGAAAGTCTAGTAGATGTACTGGGCTGCGTCCAGTTAATGCGAACAAACAGAGTCAATATGATTCAGAATTTAGTAAGTTATTACAATTCTTTATTTTTTTTAAATTCTTTTTTTTTAATAAGGGATTTGTTGAAAAGTTTGTGACCTAACTCACTCACCATAATTTGCCAAATTGGGCTCCTCAAGGTGGTGTAATGGTTAGCAAGCTTGTCTTGCTAAAACAATTACGAGTGAGTAGTGAGTTCAATCCCCACTGGGTGCCCCCCACTTTTGGTTTTGTGCCACATCTAAGCTACACTTGGAAAATGAACAAATATCCAAATTTGTTTTGGTGTCTCCTTTTGGTCAAACTGGAAACTTTTCAGCACCTCCTCATAATAATATTTGTAGAAGAGTTTTTTTGTTTTTGTTTTTTTAAACATTTTTTTTTTTTTTTTTACTTAGTGTTGGTTAATGTAGCCCACCAGATCATCCATTGTGATTTTCTTTTTCTTCCTAGCAATTTTACAATTTTATTTTTCAAACTGTGCTGGCTGCCTTACTTGGCAGACAAAGAAAATTGAATTTAAAACTTGACTTTCTATCCAATATTTTATTCTTGAATATCATCTGCAAGTTAAGTGTTTCTTTTTTAATTCTGTTGTATATCTGATACAATCTATTTGTCACAAAATTGCTTTAAAGATTAACAAAAAGACTTTTTAAGCAATAAATATTAAAATTGACAGGATTTAATATGAATAAAAAAAAAAATGAAGTCAGTTTTGTGAGGTGTATTCATTTGGTCAAATTTGGGCACAGTTGTGATAGCAAATTTTGTAAATTTTCTTAAAATCCTCTATTCAGCTAAATAGTTACCAAAAATAAATAGAACTATAGTAAAATAATTTTTTATAATTTGGGAAGGTACTTTAGCTTTAATCAAAGTTTTACAGGTTTGCAAAATTTGGTAACTGTTTAAAAGAAATGTATTTTTAAAAAATTATTGTCATTAGAAAAGGCCTTTTTTATAGTATCTATATTTGTATTTATACAACAATTTTTTATTTCTAAACATAAGCTGGTAAAAAGATAGCAAAATAGGTTTGTTTTTTTTTTTTAACACTATATTTTTTTAGGACTATATTATCAATAATTTCCTGTGTAATGAGATATATTTTTCAATCTTTTAAGCAGTAATTTTGTAGATTGTAAAAGTATTAGGTAAGCTAGGTATATGAATGTGATAAAAATGATAAACTAATAAAACAATTTTTCCGAGTGGAACTGGCATATTTTTTACATTCTGCTGATTTAAAAAATCCTAAATGACATGTTGCTTGTTTATGGAATATTTTAAGGTAGGTGGAAAATTATTCTAATAAAAATTAAGCATTTATTTATTAAAAATTAAGTGAACTTATTTTAATAGATGCATTTACATTCATCAGAAGATGAGCAATTTAAGTAAGATGTTAAATGGTAGGTTACAAAAATTATAAATAAGTTTTCTTTTGATTTTTAAGCCTCGATTTCTTATTTACTTCAATTTTTTTCTCTGCATAAATTCAAATACTTTTTAAATTTTCATTTCAAAAGTGTGTAAGCTCAGAATCTTTGTAAAGAAAGAGTTTTATTAAAAATGCTTTGAAGTAAAGTTTCTGTTTGGTTTCAGAGAAAGGTCTGAAATTCAGACAAACTTATATTAAGTGAATCAAAACGAGTCAAAAATCCTAACATACTTGAAAATAAAGAATTTGAAAACAAAAAGAATATTCAGATTATATGATTTTATACACACACACACACACACACACACACACACTTGGATATTTATTTGCTATTTTTATTTAATAATTTCTCTTTTCTTGGTCATTAAATATTTCTGTTTATTGTTATTTCACTTAATTTATATATTGATTTCTAGGACCAATATATATTTGTATATGATGCTTTGCTTGAGGCTGTGAAGGCTGGTGATACAACCATTCCAATGTCAGTATTCAATGAAACTTATCAGAAGTGGGGGACCGCAGACCCAAAAACATTAATGACAAAAATAGAAGAACAATTTCAGGTAAGTTGGGTTAACAAAGATTAAACATTTCTGATATATTATCACATGCTTGAAAGTAAACTGATATACAAGTACTTTTAAATCATTTTGAATGTAACACTGATAGTTATTATTATTATTAATAGTACTGTTGCAGTTCTTATCTTTTTGTCCTTGATAGCATTTGAAGAAAATATGTAAACATTACTTTTTCTTCTCAATTATTCTTTATATAAACACTGTATTTATGGGCAAAGATACGTACTAATTGCCATACACCAAAAGGTTAAGGGTAAAATTGATTTTATATATATATATATATATATATATATATATATATATATATATATAATAGTGGTAAAAATGGACATGTTAGAACAAGAAAAAACAACAAAAAGAGGAGTAAAAAAAAATGACATTACTGTAGTGTGTTAATATCAAAATATGAAACACAATAAAAAAAGCAGCTAAATTGGTTTATCAGCCCTCTCTCATTAGAGCTCAGTCGAGGACAAGAAATTGCAAAGAAAAACATGGTTTATTGCTTTTTTTTTACTTTTTTTTTTTTTTACTTTGTCTATATATTTATGAAATATTTGAACAAAAAAATGAATTTTCTAAATAACCATTCTTTCAGGTATTGCATTTACTTTGTCCACCATTCCAACGAGATGAATGTCGTGCTGCTTTAGAAAGTGAGAATCTCAGTAAAAATCGATTCAAAAATATTTTACCTGGTAAGTTGTCTTTTTTTTTTTTTTTTACCTGCAATGTTTTTTAAATGTTCAGTTTGATTAGAATACTAGTATACCCATGCTGTCAAAAATTATAGCAATTGTTTGAAAGTTTTAATAGTTTGATGCAATGAAACAAAAGTCTTGAAACAGTTTATTGAGATTCAATGAAGTAAGATATAAAGAATTCCCAACTAAAATAGAGGACAATGAACCGTTTAATTAATGTGTTAACTTTATATTTTTCAGATGTTCAGTAGTATCTATGACTCATTGATGTTATATAAATCTGGTATTATATAAATTGCTCTTTGCTCAATATCTTTTCATGATAATTTTATGTGTTTAATATAACTGAAATGGAAATATCTCATAAGATAAAAATTAGCAACAGAAAAACAAAATGGTGACAAACAGCCTATTTCAAGAGCAAGTTGAAGCAAGTTGATCACTTAATCGACAAAAGTATCTCCATGCCTCATATGAAAGGCTTGAACAAATAAGATTGCAATCTAAGAAATGTAGGAGTAAAGGAACTGATTAATTAAACAGTTAATTTTACTTGGTAACTAATTTTGTTTAATTGAGGGTAAATATTTTTTTGTATACCTGATTAAAATGACTAAGGGAAGTAATTTATTGATTGATTTACCTCCCTTCCTACTATAGATGTCAATACACAGGAAATTATATTGACAATCATTAAATGGTTTGATTATTTCCTACTATTTATTTATATCAGAATTCTTTGGTAAGTACTGCGTGATACTGAGTGATACCAATAGTCTTGAAAGATCCAGAACCTTTCTCATATCCTTTCCTTTTTTATGTCCATTTATATATATTAAGAAATTGGAAAGATTTGTTAGAAAGAAAAAAAGTGCTGAGCTGCTATTTAATATCAGTTCTACTATATGGCAATCAATGTTGGACAGTTTCCTCACAGATGAAGAGGAGACTTGTGGTAACATAGATATACTTCTACAGAAGGATGTTGAGAATACCATGGATGGAGCATGTAAACAACGAGGAAGTTTTAAGACATGTGGGAATGAAAAGGACTCTTTGAGGAAAGAGTCTTTGGAGAATTTGACACTCACAGGACATACTGAAGGAAAGATGGGCAGAGGGGAACAGCATGTAACCTACTTCATGAGCTTGTGTAAATGGACAGCTAAACAGGGAGTGACAGTGATCAGAGATAAATATTGCTTAGTGTTGCAAAGGTTACAAATAGTTTATCACATACAGGGCTGTGTAATTGCTTTTGAACTCTGTTAAAGCTGGAGAGTGAGGACTTATGGGAAATTTGTATTTTCTGCTTTAATTTACTATATTTTCTAGTTAAAAAAGAAAAGAAATTAATCATATTATTTGTAAATTTCATAACCATAAAAGTAATTACATTAGAGTAAGAAAAATCATTGAATGTAACATATAAACTCTGTATATCTGACAAATGGTTGCCTGAAGGAAAAAAATGTTTCAAAAACACTATTCTCATTTTTTTACATGTAGAATTAAATTATATATTTTTTTTTTCTTTCTTTAGCCAATCGGTGTCGACCTTACTTGTATACAGTAGCTGATGATTGTAATGACTATATCAATGCAGTTTTCTTACCGGTAAGTGTATTTATATTAGTGATAAATTTGTTTAATTGTGTGTGTATAAATGTGCATTTTTATTGAGACATTTAATTTGAAGATACTATTACATTGATACAGGTGTGTGTTGTGATGCAATGGATATCAGTTTGGCATGAGAAATTGGAGAGCTGAGTTTGAATTCCAGTCAGCTTTGGTACATTCACTTAAATACAAAACTACTCATCTCTTCTCCACCCAACTATGAGTTGAATAGCAGGACAGACTGGGTCCTCTAGCCTTGGTTGGCAACCAGTCTTCTGCAGAAAGAAATGTCAACTGACTGTAGGAAAAGCTTCTACCTAGTCAGTCATGGATTGAAGCATACATTGTTGCCCAAACATCTATCATGTATGGTACTTAACTGACTGACTGATCGTCATTGATAAAATGTTCTTCAGTTTCTTTTAATTACTGAATTTAAAAAAAGTTAAATTTGTAATTTAGGACAATTCCAAAAAAATTTTGACCAAATACAATTTTTACATTATTTTGGAAAAAGAAGTATCCTGGCATTTATGAAAAATAACTGAAAAATTCTCATACTAAACTTTATGGGTAAATTCTTATACTAATCACATGTATTTTACATCACAAAACAATGGATGTACAGTACAATCTTTATTCATTATTTCTTAAAGATGCAACCATTGAAGTGATATTAACTTCTAGAAGAAAAGAATGGTCAAGTCTATACAATTGGAACTAGAATCTTTTTTTCCATTTTCCATACACTTCCCAGGACCCAGACCCAGTTAAAAAAGAAGCATTTCTTCACTCTGCATTATGTTACACACTATTTAAGCTGTAATTTTGTAATTTAAATCCCAATTTTTAAAGTTAAGTTTTTATTTAAGTATTTTATCTACCCACCTCATTGATCATAGCTGAAATCATAGAGTTCACAATCCTAGTTAATTGTGAACTCCATAATCATCTTTATAGTTATGTAGTATGTGCTTTGCCAGGGCTACATACAGTTTTGAATTAGGAGTTATCTTTCTCCTAGGCCGGCTGCCAACCACACAGCCCACTCTACTATACTATTTAACCCATAGCTGTTGGGAGAAGAAATAGATTCATGCCTTTCTAAAGGTTATTCATACAAAAGTGAATGTAACAAACTCGCCCAAATCTTGTTCTGAACTGCTCATCATTACACTACTCTCCCAACCCCAAAGATTCTATTTTAGTATATTACTAGTACTCATTTCCTTTTTCTTTTTTTCATTCCTAATGTGATTAAGAATGCTTTGAGTGTATAGTATGTCACATACGTTCTGTATTTTTTCTGATTCCCTACCTTTTTTCTCTTCTCATTTCAATCCTTTTTTTTTCTCTTCTCATTTCAATCCTTTTTTTTTCTCTTCTCATTTCAATCCTTTTTTTTTCTCTTCTCATTTCAATCCTTTTTTTTTCTCTTCTCATTTCAATCCTTTTTTTTTTCTCTTTTTCTCACTTGAACATAAATGTAGATAAAACTGTTATTCAACTCATTTTCTGCAAAGTTTTTAAATTATTTTCAGTATTAGTATTATTATGACTTACACATGACAACATCATTTAATTTGTTTCTTTTACAGGGCTACACTAAGCAGATAGCATACATTGTCACACAGATGCCTCTGCCAAAGACATTAGCTGACTTTTGGCGATTACTTTATGATCATCAATCTGATACAGTGGTCATGTTGAACGAGTTTGACCGCAATGACAAGGTAAATCAATATCTAGTTTTTCTTTAAAAAAAAAATAAAATAAAAGACTTCTCTAGTAAAATAAGATGGATTTAGTATATAATTTCATGTATTTAGGTTTTTGGTACAGTGTTTTAATCTACAGCATATAAATAATGAACTAGTATATTTCTCATTGATTTGTTTTTTTGTATAATCAGCATTACAAGTGACGGTAAAATCTTGTTTTTCAGTAATATTTTGCTAAACTTTGAAAACAGAAGGACAAGTTTGTTATATCACTTTCTTGTTTTCTACTTCTTAACCAATATCTCTATATTTGAGTATTGCTGGAGAAATAGTTTTTATTTGTGCTTTCATAGAATCATCAAAAATAATCATTGTATTCCATAAAGATAACTTTGGTGTAATAATTTGGCCGGATTATTTTGTATCTTATGTTTTTATATCAGTTACGTGATTTTCCTTATATATTAATCTTTTACATATTCATTTAAATTTATTTGTGAAGATAGTCCATCACTTTTACTTTTTCCACTATTCCCTGTTATATTCTGCTCTGTACATTCCTATCTGAAAAATTTGTCAATTCTTTCTTTCTTTTCAGACCTGTGGCTTGTACTGGCCTGAAGAATACGGTTACACAGTTGAACATGGTCCACTCATTATCCAGTTGCTTTCATCATCAGAAATTGATCCCATTGTGGCCATCAGAGTTTTCCAGTTACGGCACGTTGGCAAGGTAAATATAGAACACTTAATTTAACTGTTTCTATTTTTTTAGAATACATCAATGAATTTTTGTTTACAATGTGAATGCATTAAACATTTAGTTTTACTAAATGCCTGAAAATAAGTTGTTTGTGTGATAATAGAATGTTATGTGCATTTTATATGAAATGAAAAAAATAAAATTCATATTGCCCTTTTTGCATAGTTTATGATTTTTTTTTTAAAAGCAAACTCCACAAAAGGTTTTTCTATTTGAGTATTGCCTGTGATAATGTGTTCATTTCATAAATGGAAAAACATACAAAAAAGGTGTATGTCAATTTTTTAGACTCACACTGACAAATTATAAAAAAAAAGTATTTTCACGTATAAGAATTAACAACAGTGAAATAATATTGATTTTGTACCAATATTTTTATATACTATAGGATTTTTTATTTGGTAAAAATACCCTATGAAAAAAAATAGTTCAAACAAATGTTTGAGGTAACATTTAATTCATATGGGCACACGACAAAGACAGATGACATGAGCTGAATTTAATGAACAGATAATAAATTTGTTAACACACAAAAATGAGTGAATTACACAAATTAAGTGTATTGTGTGCAAAATGATGGCCAATGACGTACGTGAAAATTATGAATGTAAATGAAATATGCCTTTTTACAATAAAAATTATAAAGTTCTTGGAAAAGTTAACTACATAAAAATAAAATGAAGAAAGGAGAAAATACTTCTCTAAATAATTTCCAAAGGATTGCTACTATTTTTGAAGCAAACTTCATGGTAACTGCAAAGAATAGAACAAGTACACCAGCTGGAGACCTTTCTTTGATGTGGAATTGACTTTGATGTTCCTTTCAATTCTCATCTGGTGGCTGTCAAATTTCTTTGGTGATATTTTTCTTTCTGGACCAGAGCAGCCTGGGTTCCTGCAGAAGCTGTTTGTCAACTCCAAAAATTAATTCCAAGACCCTCCTTTTATAGCCTACATGTAAGCTCCAAATTCACTTCTCAGAATTTGGAGGGAAACTTTTATTGGTTTTGGATGAAAAAAGCAAACACAGCTGCTTTTGCACAAATCGAAATGTACCAAAAATATTTCCAAAATTCAAAAAATTAAGCAAGATCCCAACACTGTGTCTGCTTTCTTTCTGAAAGGCAAACAGATAATACACACTCAAGCAGCTTAAAAGAAATTAATGTAAATATCAAGATTATTTGCAAACTTTAGTATAACAAATATTTAAAATGTATGTTAGTAACATCTTTGATTCTGAATGTTTCATATTAAAAACAAAGATATATTCATTTTCACCATATGCCAGTTTGAATGGTTGGTGACTAATGGTCACCTAAAATGAATTCAGTTTACCAAATCTTTGTTAGCATTTGCACAAATTGAATGAGAAAGACCATTTTAATTTAATGACATTATTTGAAAGTAATAAAAATATCAATTATTTATTTATGCTTTGGTTTCTTAAACTATGAAAGTCACAATATAAAAAAAACAAAAAAGATGTTGTTTAATGTCCAGTGATCTGTGTTGTGGTCAGAAGAAAAATCCATATTGTTTGTAATTATTTCTGAAATGTAAAGCTTTCTTCAGTGTTTGTGATTAGGTTATTTTAAATTTTTTTATTTTCTCTCAGGGTGAAGAACGAGCAATCAAGCAGTTTCAGTTTAAGGCTTGGCCTAGCCAGCAGAAATTGCCCAATAGTACAGCTTCAATCCTCAGGTTATACCAACAAGTCCAAGAATGGCTCACACAAAATGGAAGAGGACCAATCACAGTCCATTGCATGTAAGCAGACAGACTATTCAGCAATTCTTCTTTTATTTGCCCAGCTGATAAATTTAACTCCACTATTATATCTAAGTTAAAGGTTAATCCTTCTGGCAGTTTATTTGCTAGCCTCTATAAATCTGTCATTGTTTTCTATTAAAATTTTGTGTTTAATTTATTTTGCACCTTCTAAAAGCAATATATAAACTATATATTTTCATTAATTTCCATAGTTTGCCATTTGAAAAATGCAAGAGGAGAGTATAAAAAATGTTTTGTTTTGATTTGACATCTACAGTATTATAATCCTATTGTATGGGACAATGCCTATCTCATTCAGTTAATCCACCTATAACTTACTGTATTGCATTAACAGGTACAGAACATGTTGAACAGTATATTGGTATTTTGCATTTATATGAGGCTTATGGCCATATTACATTAAAACCCCAGTTCTTGTACAGTCACTGGAATTAAGATTGGTCAGTACCTAGATAAATGACAATTTGGGAATACCAAGTACTGTAATCTTGGATATGCAGGTGGGGTAATTGTATAACTACTCAGAATTGGAAATCAAAGAGCCGAGTTCCTATGCCAGTTGGTTTTATTATTCATTTATGTTCAAATACCCTTTGCAATGATAGGAATCCACCTCTCCCCCCCCCCAAGAAATGGGTTAATTAGTAAGCCGTATCAAAAAATCATTATTATCTCCAAAAGATTCTTGCAATCTAAAAGCATTTTCTGGCTTTAAATAACCTGCAAAAAATTGATAAGCCATAAAAAACAAATCAATCAATCATTCCATTTGTATGATCATATGTATATAAGAGTACAGATTTATATTATCACCCAAAGAGGATATACAATTTATTAATATTCTTTTGATACTTATTTTGGAACCTCTGCATATATTGATCTATATATGATCATTTAGTGGAAACCAGCTATATTTACTATACACTTAATATTGAGTAAATTGCAACACATATTCTGGGAAATTGCAAGTTTTATTTTCTTCTATGTGTAACAACTCACAGAGTGCACATATAATACACTCTGATCCTAAGCAAGGCCCATCCATATATAATCTCTTCAATTTTGATTGGTACTGTGTTAGGTGTTACTAAAGCATCTTATTCTGACATAGACAGGATCTAGTTTTCTACCAATGCTAAACACATTTGTGAAAGTATATTCATAACATTAAAATATCTGATTTGATTCATTTGGTTCTCTCAGCATTTACTTATTTTTTTTAATATTTTCCAGGTCATGGGCAATCATGGTTCTCCACAACTTCCTAGACTTTGTAACTCTAATGCTTGTTTCCTTAATATCCCTCCCAATCCCTGTTAAACCATCCATTTATACAAGTTTCTTAGGTAGGTGACAATGCTCCTCCCTGCTCCTCTTGCCTTGAATATGCCCTGTGAGTATTAAATTCTCCCATGTCCTGGGTATGATGCTAAACTGCATCCAACAACAAAGCCTCTGATCAGGAGGTTTTGAGGAGTATGGAACCGCCTCTTAGTTGCTGTTGTTCCTGAGTCCACCCTGACCTGGGGTAGTAGCACCTGTTAGGGTCCCAGGTATAGGTAAATAGTTTCCCCTCCCTTGATCTGGAGTCGGAATACTAGGAAAGTGTAAGAATGTTTTTTTTTTTGTAATAATAATACCATCAACACAAATTACAGTATATAAAGTGCACATTCGCAAAACCCGATTTAAAAAAAACTAAAATTTTCCCTAAATGGGGCCACCTGTTTGCCATGGGTGGCAACCTGTGATGCCTGAGGACAGTCCTGGTGACTGAGTGACTCCTGATTTGGTATAGTTGGGATGATAGATAATGGCTCCGACAGGGCCACAAAACCTTACATCATATTATACTTGGGTAGATATGGTGGAGGAGTGCAGGTGCTCATATCCACTCTCATCACACAACTATACTGTCTGTGTAGCCTTGGCGGATTAGGGTGAATGGGATTAGTCCCCCCGATACCATCCCTTAAGAAGGAACTCCGAGGTGGGTGGGGAGCACAAACAGCAAATACAAAAATTAAAATTATATGGCTATCTCTTATAAGCGAACCAAGAGACAATATGAGACTTCTGAAAATGAAGTAGAAAAAAATCAATTTCTAACTTTCATTGTTGTAGAATCAGTAGAGAGTGATATATCAAAAGTGTCTCCTTTTGTGTTGCAAAGAGTTATTTCAGATCATCAAATAGATATAGAGGAACAAAACTTTAACCCATCACAAACAAGGGATCAGTCATCATCTATACAAAGATCATTAAAAGAACCCAATGGAAAAACAAACCCTATACCGTCAACCGCAAACAAAAATGACTCTACATCTACAAAACTATTAAACCTGAAAAATCAAAACAAAAAAAAAAAAAATAGAAACATCGAAACATTCTCAAGAGAATAAAAAGATACAAAAAAATAACGAAACTGTTATTGAAGAAACAAGGAAAATGGATATAGATGAACAAATCTTTAGCCCATCACAAACAAAGGAAAGATCATCATCTAGACAAAGTTCATTAAAAGAACCGAATCTTAAAACTAAGGGAGGAAAATCAAACAAGAAAGTAGAAACAAAAGAAGTTCAAAGAACAAAACATAACAAGAAACAAAATACTAATAGTCTGAAGTACATAAAAATGATAGACACTTCACCCATTTAAAAAAAAAAATTGGACATGTAAAAATTCATAATTCGTAATACATAATCAAGATGCAAAACTTTATTCAATATTCCATTGAAACTGTTCATTTGTAACTGGGATCAAAACACTATGAAAGTGTAAAAATAGATTTTAATGCCAGAAATAATTTGTAAAAAAATATTACCGGTAATACATTTTTGAAAACCAAATGTCGCCAGCAATGCATATTTGAAAAACAAATATTACCAGCAAAACATTTTTAGGAAAAAGAAAAGAAAAATATATATTACCAGTTATATATTTTTTTTTAAAAAAAAAGAAAAATATTTGAATACATATTTGAAAGAAAATTATTACCAGAAATAGAATTTTTGAAGGAAACATTTTACCAGAAATAGATTTAAAAAAATATATTACCAACAATAAAAATTTTGTCGGCATTAAATAACCCATTAAGGTTGATATGCCGTAAAACCAAACCAAACCCATAAATTCTCTTTCCTCATTAAGTGTCCCAGGAATTTCAACTAATATCTGGTGAAAAATAGTTTATTTTACTCTCCATCGAAAGTCAACTCCATGATGGAAGAGAAGATGTTTTTGTTTAAATAATAATTTTTTTTTTTCAGGGATGGAGCTCGGCGCAGTGGCCTCTTCTGTGCAATTTGTGCCATTTTTGAAAGGATGAAAGTTGACAGAGAAGTTGATGTTTTCCAGACTGTGAAACAAATTAGAGTAAACAGGCCTCAGTTTATTGAAGATGTTGTAAGTAAAAGACAAAAAAAATATTCCTCATCTGACTTTTCTTTTTAATAAATGACAAATTTTAAAATTTATTTTACAGTTCTTTCTTAACGCTCTTTGTAATATACTAATATAAAATTGTAAAAAAGACTAAACTTGTCATTTAATACACATATTTTCCATATATGTTGATTGTTTCTGTTCTAGAAGATTGTCAGCATGTCAGATTGGATCCTTTATGGCAATCCTAGGGCAACATAGAAAGTTAACAATCAATTCCCATTTTCTCTTCAAGAAACAGATAATAATGGGTTACATGATAGCCCTTATATATCTGCACTCTTTTCTGGTAACCTTTGTTACATGCTAGTAATGAGACTTTATCAAGGTATCTAGTAATGGGACGGTGTTATGGTAAAATGTACCTTGACTAAGAGCAATAGTGTAAAAGCAATATATACAGCTATGGTGAACTTATCATTTAAACACTGTTCATTAATTCTGTGGGAATAAATAATCTTTTAAGTTGTTAGAGATAAGAATTTTTTGTTCTAACTTGTTTTAAATGACTGACTTTCTATAATCATATTCAGTATGGTCTGTGTTAATTTTTTTGTTCCTACACAAAAAGATGGTTGCTAATTAAGACAAGAATGAAATGAAGCACATATTCTACTGGCTTCTTCCCTGTTACACATACAAATTAACTTTTGACATGGAATCTTTCAATGATATTTTTACTTATATCCAGAACTAGAAAAAAAAAGTTACCATCAAAATTATCTCT